AATTTTGCTTCTTTCTCCTTCTAACTTGAAGGAAAAAATGTAATACTAATTTTTAGATGTTAGTTCTCCAGAAATAAGTAGTTGGAGAAAACAAAGAGCTTCTTTAACTACAGATAATTTTTGTTTTAGACCTGGTCTCACTATGCAGCTCAAACTCAGAATCCTCTCACCTCAGCCTCCCAACTGCTGGGATTATATGGGTGTGTCATCATAGCTGGCTCTGGATATTCTAATGTACTAGATTAACTCTTAATAACAACTAAATTATCATTAACTGCTTAACCTTTACTTAACATGTCATCTATATTAGCTAAATAAATTATGGTTTTATATACTGTACCACCATATTTTATGTGAGTGGAAATTAATATTAATAAAACAGAGCTCATAGGAGTTTTTCCACTTAAACTACCCAGTTTTAAGTAGATGAAGTAATCTGACATAAGATATAGAATTATAAACCAGGTGTGGTGGCACACACCTGTAACCCCAGCACTTGAGAGGCTGATAATGGAGAATTCTGAGTTCAAGACTAGCCTGACCTAGTGAAATCTTGTTTAACTATAGAATTGAAAACTATAGAATTATGATTGCTAAAATGTATCCTCTAACCAAGTTTTTTTTTTTTTTTTTTTGTCTTTTTTGGACAGGGTCTCCCGGGAGCCCCCGCTGTCGGGGAACCCACTATGTAAACCAGGCCGGCTTTTAACTCACAGAGATCCACCTGCCTCTGCCTCCCGAGTGCTTGGATTAAAGGCGTGCATCACCACGCCCGGCTCTAACCAAGTTTTTAAAAACAAATTTTATGCTTGTTGGTTAATGAAATGTTTATTCTGAAGTTATAACACTCTCTCTTAAGATGGATGGACATTGGGAAGAATGATGGTGGCAGAGGTCTGCTGTCATCTCTGGTGCTCTTTCTGGACTCCTAAATCCCAGCCTTTCTGTTACTCCTTCAGTGCCACACCTTTCTCCTCAGCTGCCTCATAATAGTAGGTCTCATTCTGTTTACTATCTTTAGCTTGGCTGCTTCTACTTTGACCTCCCCATTCCCTTGGACATCAGAATACTACTGTTTAGCCAGTGGGTGGAAGAACTTCAGAGATTCTTACAGTTTCACCTGTCTCTTGTGCTCTTCCAGTCAGCCAGTGAAAATACTGTCTAGTGTAAACTACTTCTATGGTGGTTGAAATACTTCAGGAAAAAAGGAATTTTACATTCCAGAGTTGGTCACATGTGTTACTCAAGTCAGTGAACTGTCATGTTTCGGTATATCCAAACAGATTTATTTAATGAAATGAGTAGATGTTTTTATAGAGGGATCCTGTTGTAGAATCCAACATAGTGCATTTATTAAAACCAGCTTCACTAAAATAGAACTATGTAAAATTTGCAATTTGCTAAATTTTGCATTTAAATGTACACCCAAGAAACCATTATCATGGTCAAGATGGCACACCCATCACCTCTAAGTTTCCTTATGCCCCTATAGTTTATATTTTCTAGAGTTTTATGTATATGAATATACAGTGCATATTTTTTCCAGCTTTTTTAAATTTTTTGGTCTTTTTGAGACAGGGTCTCCCTGTAGCCCCAGCTGTCCTGGAACTCACTATGTAGACCAGGCTGGCCTTGAACTCACAGAGATCCACCTGCCTCTGCCTCCCAAGTGCTGGGACTACAGGCATGAGCCACCATGCCCAGCTTTTCCAGCTTTTTAAAAAGACAGGATCTCTGGGGCTGGAGAGATGGCTCAGTGGTTAAGAGCACTGACTGCTCTTGCAGAGGACCCGGGTTCAATTCCCAGCACCCACATGGCGGCTATGAACCGTCCTTAGCTCCAGTTCCAGGGGAATCCGAAGCCCTCTTCTGACCTCCGTGGCATTGTACGACATGGGTGCACTCACATACATGCAGACAATGCACTCATACACATAAAATAAAAATAAAATATTTTTTAAAAAGACAGACTCTCATATACCTAACAGGCTATCCTTGAACTAGGTATGTAGTCAAAGACAACCTCCAGCTCTTGATCATCCTGCCTCCATCTCCCAAATACTGTAACACAAGCATGAAACCACCATACCTGACTTTTACCCAACAATTTAAAAAATGACAAAAGTCAGAGAATATAATGGTTACCTTCAAAAAAATTTTATTACATTTATTTGTGTGTCATACATGTGGGCACATGTGTACTATGGTATGCATGTGGAGGTCAGAGGACAACTTGCAGGAGTTGGTTCACTCCTTTCACCATGTGGGTCCCAGGGAATTGAACTCATGTTCCAGGCTTGACAGCAAGCACCTTCAGGCACTGGGCTACTTTGCTAGCTGTCCTACTTTGCTTTCTATTGCTGTGATAAAACATGGGAAGTGAGGGCAGGAACTCAAGACAGAAGCAGAGGTCATGGAGGAATGCTGTGTACAAATTTGGTACCCCTGGCTTGCACAGCTCTTTTTTATACAGCCCAGGCTCACCTGTACACAGTGGGCTGAGCTCTCCTGAATCAATTACCAACTAAGAAAATGCCTCACAGACATGGAGGCAATTCCTCAACTGAGGTTCTCTGGTGCCAGATGCCTCTAGTTTGTATCACATTAACAAACTAACCAGCACACTTAGGCCATGGTTACTTTTAAGATTTTTCTTTTTAGTGATGCCCTGGGGATCACATGTGCCTTGCACATGGTAGGCCAGCTCTCTACCACTAAGTTATGAGTTGCTACTTTTAAAACGAGCAGGAAAGGAAAGCGAACTGAAATTTAATGGAGTGTGTTGAATGCACTTGAATGTTTCTGTTGAGTGCACGTGTGTGTGCATGTGCACTGGCTAGCTTTAGTGTCAACTTGACACACCTGGGTTGAAGGAACCTCAATTGGAGAATTTCCTCCAATGGCCTGGCCTGTGGCCATGTCTGTAGGGCATCTTCTTGATTGTTGAGTGATGTGGGAGGACCCAGCCCACTGTGGGTGGTGCCACCCCTAGGCAGGTGGCCTGTGTTGCATAAGAAAGCAGGCCAAGCAGTAAGCAGCGTTCCTCCATGGCCTGTGCTTTGGCTTCTGTCTCCAGGTTCCTACCCTGAGTTCCTAACTTGGGATCCCTGGACATTTAAGCTGAATAAACCCTTTCCTCCTTAAGTTAGTTTTGGTCAGAGTATTTTGTCACAGCAATGAAGAAACAAACTAGGACAACATGTGAAGGCCAAAGATCAACTTTGTTGTTCCTCAGGAGCCATTCAATGTATTGTTTTTGAAATAGGGTCTCTTATTGGCCTGGAGCTTATAGCACAGACTATACTGGGTGGCCAGGGAGCCCAGAGGTCCATCTGTCTGACTGCTGGGATTACAAGCATGTACCACTGTACCTGGATTTTTTTATGGCGGTTCTGGGGCCTGAACTCAGGTCATCATTCTTGCAAGGCAAGAACTTTACCAACTGAGCTACTTCCTCAGCCCCTAGAGGTGCTTGTTTTTGTTTTTATAGGCAGGGTCTTGCTAAGTTGGGGTCTTGCTTGGCTGCTCTTGAAAGCCTGATCTCAAGCAATTCTCCTGCCTCAGCATTTCAAGTAGCTGGAACTATTAGTGTGTGCTACATGACCAGATAAAGTATTTATCAGTTTATTTCATGAAACAAATGCACTGGCCCAGCGTGGTGGTGTCCACCTTTAATCCCAATACTAGGGAGGCAGGTGGATCGCTGTGAGGTCAAGGCCAGCCTGGTCTACAAGTTCTTGGCCAGCTAGGGGTACAGACAGACTCTGTTTCAAACAAAAATCAAAACAACCACTCCCAAAACAACCCAAAAGTTAGGATGCACTGTTAGTATGTAAAAATCACTTAATTTGTTAAGATGTTAATTTTTTAAATTTTTTAAAAATTTTATTTCACGTGTATGAGTGTTTTATCTGCATATATTTAAGTGTACCCATGTGTGCAATGCCCACGGAGGTTAGAAGAGGGAGTTGGATCACCTGGAAGAGGAGCAGCTTGATGTGGGTGCTGGGAACAGAACCCAGGTCCAATTCAAGTGCAGTCAATGCTCTTAACCGCTGAGCCATTTCTCCAGGCCCAGATGTTAAAGTTTTAATCTCACCTGTTCTTAGTAAAATATACAGAGAACCATTTTCATTTTAGTTTCTTTAAAAACAATACAAAACAATAAACACCGGACATGGTGGTGCACACCTTTAATCCCAGTACTTGGGAGGCAGAGGCAGGTGGATCTCTGTGAGTTCAAGGCCAGCCTGGTCTACATCGTGAGTTCCACGACAGCTGGGGCTACAGGGAGACCCTGTCTCAAATAGACCAAAAAAAACTGTCAGGAAATAAAAAGACTTTCATAGTGTACAAGTTCCATTATGTATGCTTTTCCAAGCATTCTGAACTCATATATACCACAAGCTGGGGCTAGAGATATAGCTTAGCTGGCAAGTGCTTGCCTAGTATAGAGGAAGCCCTGGGTTCAATCCTCAATACTGCATAAACCAGGTGTCATGGCATAGGCCTATAATCCCAGCACTCAGGAAGATCAGAAATTCAGGGTCATCCTTGGCTATATAGTGAGTTTTTGGTCAGTAAGGGATACATAAGACCTTGTCTCCAAAATAAACTAACAGAAATCAGAAGAAGAATAACACAAACTATCCAAATGCTTAAAAATCCAAGGCCTTTAATTCAGTTTTTGGTAATGACCATAAATGCCTCCAAAAATCTCTTTTTCACTGTAAATAGAAGGCACTAGGCATTACATAACATCCTAAAAGCAGTGACTCTTCTGACGCTGGTGGAGATAACAAATTAAATGGCAGGGTTTGAATATTACAAAGGGGTGAACTTTGGTCAAGGAAAAAGTGTCTGTGTGGCATCTTCCTTTCAGGAAACACAATGCAGTGAGCAGGATACTATGATGGTTATAAGATCCCAATAATCATTCTAAGCAGTGGGGGGGGGAAGAAAAGAAAAGAAAAGAAAGGAGAAGAGAGAAGAGAAGAGAAGAGAAGAGAAGAGAAGAGAAGAGAAGAGAAGAGAGAATAGAAGAGAAGAGGAGAGAAACTGAAAAAAAAAAATCACATAAAATTTTTAAGTACCAGTCAGTCTTCCTCAGGTTTCTAATGCAACTTTAAGTTATTCTTGCAGGTACATAATTGGAAATTAAGAGATGCAGTGGATGAGTGTGATCTGGCTTTCAGTATGTGTTAAGTTTCAGTTAAATACAGTAAATGTAAATACATTATCATGCTAATTGGCATCTCATGTTATTCTTTAGCTGTGCACAATAAACTTAAAATGATACATCCTGTAGAAGTATATTTTAAAAGGTCCTTGATATGACACTAACAACTTTCAAATTCATGTCACAAACTGTATATAAATTGTGATTATTAAAATACACTTTTTTGAAAAATAATAAGATGACCATTTATACCTAAATAAAGTTTCCCAGAAAGTTATGAAATACTTTAGCATATAAAAGTAGTTGCCCCTTTTTCTGAAAGGTCAATGTTGTTTCACAAAGTAATCCATATGAGCCTCAGCAAACACTTTCTTCCAAACACCACATTCTTTCTACAACATCGAGATGTGCTTCAAGAGACTGCATCCATGACTAAAGCGGACACCTAGGTACTAGACCATAGTCACAAACACAAGGAACCTTTCTTGGATCAGGAATGCCCATAGGAGTAACACTAACAGAACAGGAGATGGCTTCTGAAGCCGTTCTTTTATAAATACATACACCTAATTTTGGCTGTTCAGAGGATGCTTAAGACACAGCTATTTACATATGTGCTACATCATGTGTGCCTATTTGAACAGTGGCTTCTGCAGATATTTCCATTCAAATACAAACAAAACAATCTTAGTATACTAAACAACACTCTACTTTTGGCAAGGTAGTATAAACAAAACAGAAATAAAAACCACAAAAACTATAACACTGATTTAGGCAAAAGTTCCCATGTCAAACAAGAATAGGCAAAGTGTTCTGAAAAGCATTAATTTGGGATAAATAATATTACCCAACAAATAATGTTGCAAGCTAAACTTAAAATCATAAAATAACTATTACATTAATAGCTTATGAATGCCTTTAAGAATAATTCAGTTTTAAAAAACAGCTGATTATGAGGTTCATAATTATGTCATCAAAAGACATTCAAGCTAATTAATTTGTACAGGCCCACTTAGTAAAAAGTAAGAGAAAATCAACTATTCCATAACGAATCCTCTATACGCCTTCTTCCTTTGGAGAAATTCATAAGACTACATTTTGAAAATGGTAAAGATAACAGAAAAATGAAAACCTGTATAACAATTTCAAACACCCATTATGCTAAAATTATGTATCATAATCAGCTAAGAAAAAGCTTTAGGACTAGCAGCTGGACTCTGTGAAATATACAGGACAGCAGAAGGCACTATATACACCTCAATTACTCCTAACTATAGTTGGGAACTTCAGTTTTTTCGTTCTTAAGAAGACAGCCAGCGTGAATGTTATTTTTATATCCCCCTGAGTTTCAACATGATTGGGCAGAGCAGCACCAATTTAAAAAGACACCTGCAGTGCCAGCACTGCATTTTGAAATCACTTACACTGATGGCCCCACAGGTCTCTCATAAGAGCACTTTAGAACATGATTAAAAATGTAGAAATACCTTCCAGTATTTCAGTATTAAAGTGGAACCACCACAGAATGCCATTTGTAAAAATAATGCACTAAAATGTCTGTTTTTACAACTTGGTCTTTCCACCTGCATCTAGCAATCACGGCTACTTTCCATTCCACTTGTCCCCAAGAGATCTCCTTTGTGCATCTGGATGAAATGTCAGTATGCTTCATGGTGCACAGTCCTTTGTGGATGGAAAATCCTGGTAAATATCATGTCATGCCAGTTTTGAGCAGTATGCCTTGCAGGTCCTCTGGCAAAGCTAAGATAATTGCATCTATATGTGTCCGTAACTTTTCCACAGTGTCAGGTTTCACTGGTAAATTCTCTCGGTCAGCCTGCAACTACATAAGGAATAGTTGGCAGTATTTAAGTGCATCTGTATTAATATATTTACTATATAAACACTTTTAACAGCCCAATTATTAGAAACTTTAAGTCTTACTCTAGAATTTACAGAAACTAAAAAGGCAGAGAACTTGCTACTGGGGGAAGGGGGCGGAAGAACCTCAATATAAGGCTCATCTGTAAATTCATAGATAATATCTAGGGAAACTGTGGCATAAAACATCGGTGACAATAGTTTTGAAAAGTTCATAAAACTCCATCTATACATCTTTAGACTCACATGGCATCATTGTGATCAGTTTCAGTGACCAAGTATTTCCAGTGAGATCTACTACCAATTGGCCAATCTGAAATCCTCTCATTTAAGAAGTTACTTTGGTGATTCATCATGGATTATCAGTTCAAATCAGAAGAAAAGATCATCTTAGAAACGTCAATTTTACCCTCATTTCTTTAGTTACGTACCAACTTATTTTTCAGCTTCAGTACAAGGTCTACTGTTTCTACTTCTGTATGTGTCTGGATCCAAAGAAGGAGGTCCTAGAACAGTAAGAAAATCCCAAATCAGTAGGTATTCAAAATAATATTGAGCCTCTTTATTTCAGTCAAGGCTAAGGGGGAGGAAGGAGAAGAAGGAAAAGGAGGATGGGGTATTTAACTCAGATGTCCTTATAGTATAAGGATAAGTCTCATGATAATCTAAAAATTGCTAATCAGATCATTTTCAACATTAGCCAGAACTGTCTAATATTTAGAAATAAAGCAAAATGTAAGAAACTCCTTTCTGAGGTGGCCCCTTTTAGGTCAAGTAGGGGGGAAAAAAGCCCCGGCAGCTCAATGCACTATTAACCTTTAACCTTACAACAGTAATTTATACTTAGAAATAAAACAAAATGTAAGCCAACAACTTTCTGAGGTGGCCCTTTTAGGTCAAGTAGGTAAAAAACAACAACAAAAAACCCAACAGCTCAAGGCAATATTAGCCTTTAACATTTTAACAGTAATTTATACAGAATTAATACTAGTTAACAAATCAAGATCGCAATACATGAATGTGTTACTGGATATAAACTTTTATGTTCAAATAAGATCTTCTTGATCTTCTTAAAGCTATGACATGGTGCTTCTTTCTCTTTCTTTTGTGCTCTCCTTCCCCTCCCTCCCTCCCTTTCCTTCCTTCTTTCGCTCTCTCTTTCCCCTTCCTCTCTCCCTCTCTCTCTTTCTTTATTTCTTTAACAGGGCTTACTATGTAGCTATATAGCCCTGGCTGGCCTGAAACTTGCTATGTACAACAGGCTGGCCTTGAACTCAGAGATCCATCTATCTATGCCCCTCCTCCCCAAGTGCTAAGATCAAAGGCTGCACCATGCCCAACCATCATATTCTTTTCTAAAACCCACAATCACTAGGCGTTTATGATTAGAAAGATAACCTGAGACCAGCTCACCTCCACGTTTAAAGCTAACTACAAATAAAAGTAAGATTATGTCACGGGGCGTGGTGGCGCATGCCTTTGATCCCAGCACTGGGAGGCAAAGGTAGGTGGATCTCTGGGAGTTCAAGGTGAGTCTGGTCTCCATAGTGAATCCAGACCAGCTGGGGCTACAGGGAGACCCTGTCTCAAAAAGACAAAAAAAAAAAGTAAGATTATGTCATCACACTTAATCTGAAGTAGACTGGTGACAAATTACAGATTAAAAATTCAGTTCACACAAGAAACTGTTAACACTAAATGGAAGAAGCTGCAGTGAAGACCGCAGGGGTGTGAATCCTGTTCCTGCTCTGCAGAACCTACCCACTTTCAGTGTTATCATGCTCCCACTGCAGGTGATTTCAAGCTACTAACTGAGGTCTCTCAACACAGAATGAGGAAGAGGCGAGCACGATTAGTTCATGTAGATAGTAAAGCAGACAAAATCACTCTGATGCCTCCATGATTAAGAGGCAATATAAACTGAGACAAGCTTGCTGAACTTTTAAGCCACAGGTGCTGCATAATGCAGATCACAACACACCTACCTCAAAGAATTATTGTGACAATTAGGAGCCCTTGACACATAGCACAGGATCTGAATAAGTCAGCCATGATTACTATTTATAATACAGTGGGACCAGAGAGATGGCCAGCGGGTAGAAGCACTGTCACTAAGGCCAACACTCTTGAGTTTGATCCTTAGAACCCACATGGTAGGAGAGAACGGACTCCTGTAAGTTGTTCTTTGACCTCCACACACATGCCAAGTATGCACATGCCCACCACATATACACACATACACACAAAATAAATGTAATAAAATGGGTATTATTTGCAACCTCTAAGAATATTTTTTTACTCTCGTACTTGTTAGTCATCATACAAACACAGTTCTCTAACCTCTTCACAGAGAGCTTCTAGATGAAGTGCTTCCAATTTTTGGGTCATTTCTTTCCTCCGAGTCTTGAACCAGCCATCAAAATTTGGAGACTTTAGAAACTGCCTATAAAAATAAATTTTACAAAAGAAAAGGCTGGCTAAGATTCATCTCTTCAACCTCCCCACCTTTGTCTGTCTTTTTTTTTGTGTATGAGTATATTGCCTATATGTATGTAAGTGCACCCATGTTGTGCAATGCCCATGGAGGTCAGAACAGTGTTGGATCTCCTGGAACTGGAGTTACTAAAGGTTCTTAGCTGCCATGTGGGTGCTGGGAATGAAACCTGGGTCCTCAGCCAGAGCAGTCAGTGCTCTTAACTGCTGAGCCATCTCTCCAGCCCTTTTTGTTTGTTTTTTGAAACAGGGTCTTACATAGTCCAGTCTGGCCTCAAACTTGCTATGTAGCTGGGAATGACCCTGAACGCCATCCATATCCTCCTGCCTCCACTTCCTAAGTGTTTGGATTACAGGTATGTGCCACAATGTCAGCCTTTCATTCCTTTATTACAGCTCAGAAAACTATGTTATATGAATGGATTTTAAAAAAACAAACAAAAAAGAATATAAGTTTACAACCAGTTGTTTGCATTAAGTTCCACAAACAAGTGAAAAAGGAGGAAAGAGATTAACCGGTAAAGTCCAATCCAATCGCCTTTTATTCTAGAGGTGAGTTGAGGTCCTGTTTTCTCAAGTGTTTTCATAAATTCTTCCGGAAGAAACTGTTTTAATTGGGGTGGACTCTAGAAAACAAGGCATAGTATATTTAGAAATAAGGAACTGCTATATTCAAAGAAGATAATTAAAGTCAGAGGACTGAAAGAGAAAATTGCATGAATATACACATACCTTCCAGGGAGAAATAGTTTTCTGCAAAGGCATCAAGCTTGCCACATATCTTTCCTAAAGCCAAGAGAAAAAAAGTTGATGAAACTTCAGAGTTCTTACATAGTCTACCTAAGGGATCTTAAACTTTAATAAAAGGGGTTTCCAAGTCTCTCTCTCTCTCTCTCTCTCTCTCTCTCTCTCTCTCTCACACACACACACACACACACACACACACACACACACACACAGGTATGCATATATTTCTTTCATCTACCATAGGCAGGCCATAGAAACTATTCAAATTTCAAACAAAGAGCCATTCAAATTTCTCTTCCCCAAGGTAGGTAACAGAACCTCTTAATCTCTCCCTGCCTGCCTTTCTGTTTAGGAGCTGCTGAACATAAATTTTCTAATCCTCTTTGTCCAAAATTTTAATAACATCCGGACCCTCAGAAAGTGTCTTGCATCATACCTGCAAGAAAGGAATCTGACCATACAGGCTTTGCTGATTTCCACCAACCAGTCAGTTGCATTACATCATGCTTTTTTTGTCCCACCACATTTGGACAGTTACCCACACTTCAATTATGCTTACACAATGAAATCTCTATAGCAACCCAAAGGGCAGGTTTTGGAGAGCTTCAGGACAGCTGAATATATGATATTCCTAGGGAGAGGCACACTCAGAGAATTCATGGAAGTTCTATGCCTCATCTCCCATACCCTACAGTATGCATTTCTTTACCTCTGTTCTCTGTAACATCCTTTATAATAAACCAACTAACAGGGAATGCTTCCCTGGGTTTTCTGAGCCATTCAAATTAACTGAACGTCAATGAAGTGATTATGGGATTTAAAGTCAGTCACAAGCACAATCTGCAGCTTGTGATTGGCATTTAAAGTGGAGCAGAACTATCTCAGGAACCCAGCACTCAGCTTTTGGGATCTGATGCTATCTCTACATAGTGTCAGAATTGAGTCAGAAGACACCAGCTGATATCTACTGAGAAATGATTACTTGCTTGTTGATGGAGAAAAAAGAACTGCATATCATTTTGAGTCACAGATGTGACTGGTGTTGTGAGTATATTGAAAGAATAAGTGAATCTGAACTTTTCAAAACTTTTATTTTTACATCTCATTAACTAATTTTATGTGTATTGTCAGGAATGTGCCTGACATAATGTGTAGGTCAGAGGGGAACTTGTAGGAGAGTTGGTTCTCTCCTTCATCATGTGGGTCCTAGGGATCAAACTTAGATCATAAGTCCTGCTGGCAAGTGCTTTTACCTGATGAGCCATCTCACCAGACAGAATCTGAGTTTTTATAAGCTAGTTTTTCATCTTGTTCCTTCAATGGATATCAATGACACCATCATTTCCTACAAGACACAGCTACATTTAGACTAAGTTGGGAAGTGATGTTTCAACAAAAATCTAACTAAGTCTTGGATACTCAAACATTAAATTTTTGTTCTTCTGCTTTCTTCAAGATAGGTGTCTCACTATATTGCCCAAACTGGTCTTGAATTCATGGGTTCAAGTGATCTCTCCACCTGAGCTTCCCAAGTACAGTATGTGGTACTGGGCCAATTCAAATTGTTTGTTTTTGAAAGAGAAAATTTTGTGTGTGCATGATGAATATGGTTCACATGCCACAGTGCATATGTGGAAGCCAGAGGATCAATTTGTGAAGTTGGTTCTCTCCTCTTTCCTTTATGTGAGTCCTGAGGATCGAACTCAGTTTGTCAGACTTGTGTAGAAAATGCCTTTACTGCTAAGTCACCTACTGACCCTTGTTTACGTTCTTTGAGACAGTCTTGCTATGTACTTCGTGCAGTCCCTGAACTCATGATCCTCCTGCCTCCACTTCCTGAGCTTTGAAATTACAGAAATATGCCACCACATCTAGCTCTAAGTTCATCTACTTTTTTAAAAAGTATCTTTTCTGTTGTTGTTGAGACAGGGTCTCACTGTGTAGCCCTGGCTGGTCTGGAACTAGCTATGTAGATCAGGCTGTCCTTTAACTCACAGAGATCTGCTTGCCTCTGCCTCCAGAGTACTAGGATTAAAGGTGTGTGATACCAGACTGGAATAAACTCATATACTTATTTAAGATTTATTTTTATTTATGTTTATGCATGTTTGTATGTGCATATGAACACCAAGAGAGGGTATCAGATGTCCTGGAGCTAGAGTTATAGGTGGTTATGAGCAGCAGCTTGATGTGGATGATGGAAGCCAAACCCCAGTCATCTGCAAAAACAGCAAGTACTCTTTAACTGTTGAGTCACCTCTCCAGCCTCTCATATTTTTAATGATAATTTAAATTAATAGTGTTGAGTAATTATAGGGCAGAAAATGCACTTAACATTTTACACACGTCTTGTAACCTTGTAACCACTCTATGTTTAATTACTAAAAAACTGAAACTTCAAAAAGTTAAACAACCTGACCAAAAAACTCATCATTTGAACTTGAATCCAGGTCTACTTGACAACAGCCCGCATTTTTTTCCTCCCTCCCCCTTCCTCTTTTTAAACAGTATCTCACACTATAGCCCAGGTTAGCTTTGAACTTGTGGCAATCCTCCTGCCTCAGGCTCCTGAGTGTTGGGATTACAGAAGTGACTCACCATGCTGGTTTAGTCTATACTCTTAAGCACCAAATAAGGTTGATTTACTTAAATAAGCAGTTTTACATGTTTGTGGTGCTGGGCAGTGAATGCAGAGCCTCACTAATGTTATTTGCCTCACTGAATTACATTCCCAGCCTGACATAGTTTAGCTTGAACAAAATTACATCCATAAACCAAGAATACTTTTCCCCCAAAATGAACAGCAAAGATCTTCATGCTGCTCTCATCTAAAGTTCAAAGATGATATTAGTAACTACAGAAAAAGCGATGATGCAATCACCAGACAAGGACATCATGATATTGCCTATATTGATATGCATGCCACTAAATTTCCTAGAATAACTGTGTTATTTAGTCATTTATTCAAAAGTATTTGAGACCTACCATGTACCACACTGGGGAGGTAATGAGCAAGACACACATGGTTCCCTTTACCACAGAATTATATAGATTCTTGGACACAGCAAATTCTGTTCAAGAAACCAGTATCAGAATCTGGAGAGATGGATTAGTTGTTAAGAGTATTTGCTGCTCTTGCAGAGGACCTGGGTTCAGTTCCCAGCTCCCACACCAGTCTGTTCACAACCTGCAACTCCAGTTCCAAGGGGTCTGACTCCCTCTTCTGGCCTCTGTGGGCACCTGCATGCATATGGTGCACATACAGACGAGCAGGCACACACATACACATAAATAAAAAAAACTTGGGGGGGGGTCTTTTTGAGACAGGGTCTCCTTGTAGTTCCAGCTGTCCTTGAACTCACAGAGATACGCCTGCCTCTGCTGTGGCTACAGGCGTGCGCCACCACGCCCAGCTAATAGAAAATATTTTAAAAATAGAAAAAAAGTGTTATCAGAAAGAAACTCCCGGGTAACCTTTTAAGGTACAAAATGCAATAATTACATAATATCTCACAACGGGTAGTTCAATGGTTGTGGTAGGACATGTGTATTCCCTGCTCTGACTCACTGAGCCAAGGCACAGCATAGAGTATCTGACAACCTCCACCAGTACCTTCTGATTAAGAAATTGGATCTAGCTTTGCATACACAGTGAGGATTTATATCTGACTCTGTAATGGCTGACAAAGACCCAATGCAATCCTTGGGTGGTTGCACCACTTGTGACTATTTGTTTAGCGATTGCTGTACTATAAACTGAAAGCAAAAATACCAAAACTATTTAGCCTATATTATACCTATGGGATCAATGGGTAAGCATGTCAGACTGGCTAATATCTACTGTAGCAATTTGGTAGTGATTTTTCTTTGGATAATTGGCATAAGTATCTAGTAAAAATAATTTTAATATATTTGTCATGGTGGACATAGTAATTTACAAAGTAATTCAGTTGAAATACTTCATGTTTCTAAACAATGAATGACACTGGTATCAAAATCACTAGTGTGTGTGTGTGTGTGTGTGTGTGTGTGTGTGTGTGTGTGTGTTTAGATATAAAGTGTCCCCATGCCCTACCCAAAGATTCATGTGTTAGGCTGGAAAGATGGATCAGTGGTTAAGAGCATTGGCTGCTCTTGCAGATGACCTGGGTTCAGTTCCCAGAACCCACATGGCAGCTAACAATTGTCCTAACTCCAGTTTCATGGGGTCCAATGCCTGCTTCTGACCTCCATGGGCACTACATGCATCTGGCTCATTTATATACATGCAGGTAAAACACTATAAATGAAATGAAAGTATTGTTTTAAAGACTCCTGTGTTGAAGGACTGGTTCCTAGCTGGTGGTGCTATGGAGAAATGACTGGATCATATAGGGACTAAACTCATCAATGGGTTAATCTACCACTACATTCCTATGGAATGAGCTATCTGCAAGTCCGGACCTGGTAGAAGGAAGTGTATCACTGACAGTGTGCCTCTAGAGGTCTACCTTGTCCTTGGCCTCTTCCCTCTTTTGTGCTGGCTGTCATGAAGTGGGAAGCTTCTGCCATAAGCTCCCCCACTATGATATTATTTCTTGCCTCATGTCCAAAGCAACAGATACAGCTGATCTTTCACTCTAAAATCATGAACCAAAATAAATCCTCCTTTTGAACTATTTTTCTGAGGAATTTGTCACAGTGATAAAACATCTAACAGGGTGTGTCCAGAATATTGTGGCTATATAGTGACACAACTGTAAATAATGTGTTTAAAGGGTTGTAGGGTATATACTTAACACTATACTTAGCCAGGCATGGTGGCACATGCTTGTAATGGCAGCACTTAAGACAGAGCCAGAAGACTGCTCAAGTTTGAGGCCATCCTGGTCTATACAGAGGGTTCCAGGCCAGCCAGGGATACCATAGCAAGACTGACAGAAAGAAAAAGACTTAATAGAGCTTAAGTAACAAGTACAAATCAAGAGACAGCTATACACTCCACTGTAGAGTTCATACACTAAACTGCTCTTGCTCTCAATACAAGGCCTTTAACTTTTTTGTCATTGATATCTGTTTGGTTTGGGAGGCAGGATCCCATGTGTAGCCTAGATTGGCCTCTAATTTTTAACAATCCTCCTGTTATTGAGATTACAAATGTGGGCAACCATGCACTGCTTTAAGGGCTGATTGCTGGGCAATCACCTTGAACATTGAATCAGTTTCTTTTTTATTATTTTTATTTTATGTGTATGCGAGTATTGCCTGCATGTAGGTAAGTGCACCTGTGTCATGCAATGCCCACAGAGGACAGAATAGGCTGTCAGATCCCCTGGAACTGGAGTTACAGAAAGTTGTTAGCTGCCATGTGGGTGTTGGGATTTGAACCCAGGTCTTCTGCAAGATCAGCCAGTGTTCTTAACTGCCGAGCCATCTCACCAGCCCTGATCTGATAGTCAGTTTCTGATCAAAGGCAGCTATCTGCTATTCATTTTTTTTTGGTCTTTTTGAGATAGGGTCTCTCTGTAGCCCCAGTTGATCTGGAACTCACAATGTAGACCAGATCTGCCTGCCTCTGCCTCCCAAGTGCTGGGGTTAAAGGTGTGTGCCACCACATCCAACTCATTTATTCTTTTTTATATCATGTGTGGATTTGATTCTAGAATTTGTGTCAACTTTTGTGTGCTCTTAAAAATCAGTTTTATAGCTCTGTGGTAGAGTACTTGCCTCAAATGTACAAGGGTTCAATCCCCAGCACTACCTCCCCTTTGCTCCCCAAATCTGTTTAATTCTAAGCATTCAGTATCTAAAAGACTGGAAATAAAAAAGAAATAACTTTTGCCAATAATATTTTTTTATCAATTACTTTTTATCATAGGCGACTCTTCTTTGAGAAGTCCACACCCACATTCTTACATGTCTTATTTCCTGCCTGAGTGCTTTCCTTCTTAAACTTGGTGATTACAATCTATATTAAAGTCTCTTAATAACCTCCAACCCTGCTTTAAAAAAAAGAATCGCAACAAATTTGAAAGGTATTTGGGGACTGTAGACTCAACCATATATTAAAGACAAGCAAAATGAGAGTCAAGGGGAAGAAATTACTTACCAAAGTTAAACAGCTAATATTAACACAAAGAATCCAGGTCCCTTACAAAAGGCACCATTTTAAATCACTAAACACACCAACTGGCAAGACACACAATTTAAAATTTGGAGGATCAGAAGAACATTCATATACCCCTCAGCAAATCATTAAAATGTACTTGCTAACTTACCAATGGAATAATGAAGCTTTGTGTCAGTTCCAAAAAATAGCGTCGGAGAATAACACTTTGAGCCTCAGAAGGACGTTTCTGCTGCACACCCTTAAAAGACAGTGACAACCCACAGTCTAGAAGCAGTAAGTATAAAACACTGGGTAATTGTCAAGCTCAGTTGCTTTGTAAATACACTTAATTTTTAAACTCATTTTTATGTGTTTGAGTGTATTGCCTGCATGAATGTTAAGTGCACCCGTGTCATGTAATGCTCGTGGAGGTCAGAAGAGGGCATAGAATCCCCTGGAACTGGAGTTATGAACAATTGTTAGCTGTCATGTGGGTGCCAGGAATTGAACCTGGGTCCTCTGTAAGAGCAGACATGCTCTTAAACCACAGAGCTATCTCTCCAGCCCCAACACATACTTAAATTTAATACCAACAAACAAGCAAGAATGTACAGGTTCATATTGACATATTTAATTTGAAGTTCATGTATAATACCCTATAAAACAATCTTTTAGACAGAGGCTGGGAAGAGTGGGATGAGGAAGGAAATGGCTGAACAAGGAGTACTAAGTTATAGTAAGATAGGAGCAAGCAGTTCTGGTGTGCAGGGTGACCGCAAAGAACAACTATGTACAAATCTCTCGAAAACATAGAAGAAAGGCTTTTAAATGTTTTTATCACAAAGAAATGATAATTGTTTGAAGAGATGTGTAAGTTTAATCTGACTTAAACATTACATAATGTATACTCCACTGATACATATAATTTGCTTTTATTTATTATGTAAAATCTAAGACCCTATAGGTTAGCTAATACCATTTATCTCATACTTAAAAGCATCAGTTCATAGAGAAGGCAATCTTTTTGTATTTGCTATACTAATAACTACTTACATTTTCAAAAAAAAATGCTTTCTCTTACAGGTAGGTGCTAAAGAGCCTCATGGTAGAGTCACTAACATTTTCATTATAATAGCCAAGTTTCCAGAATAATCAGTACTTTTTGTAGCTTAAAAAAAAAAAAAAACACCAATATTGTAGCCTATGATTATTGATACTTTAGTTTCTTGGGTGTGTGTGTCTGCATGTGCACAGGAGAGTGTGCATGTGTGTGGAGGCCAGAAGTCAAAGTTACATTTCTTCCTTGATGGTTCTGCACCTTATTATTTAAGACAAGAGTCTCTCACTAAGCCTGAAACTCCCTGAGTTGGCTAGCTGGACAAGCCAGCAAGTTCCAAAGAACCATCTAGCTCCACCTCCCTAAGTATTGGAGTTACGGTTATATGCTGCCATGTCAGGTTTTTTTATGTGTATGATGAGGTTGGAATTCAGATCCTCATGCATGGCATGGTAGGCACTTTACCAACTTAGTCATCTCCCCAGTTCTAGTCTTCTGATTTTTTAAAAATTAGTTTGTATTTGTATGTGCATTGTGTGTGTGTGTGTGTGTGTGTCCCACAAATGTACATGTGCTAAGGCATGCTTGTACAGGTCAGGAGACAACTTGCAGGAGTAGGTTCTCTACTTCCACTATGTAGGCCCCAGGACTGAACTCAGGTCATGAGGCTTGGTGCCAAGTGCCTTTATCCACTGAGCCATCGTGCCAAACGCTAGTCTCTTGATTTTTTTTAAAAAACATTTTGTCACTTTTATGTGTATTAGTTTAATGCTTGCATGTATGTAAGTGCATCTGTGTCATGCAATGCCTGCAAAGGTCAGAAGAGGGCATCAAATCCCCTGGAACTGGAGTACAGACAGTTGTTAGCCACCATGTGGGTGCTGGGATTGAACCTGGGTCCTCTGCAATAGCAATCAGTGCTTCTTAACTGCTGAGCCATCTCTCCAGTCTCCCTTGATTTTTTAAAAGTATTTTATTATTTTTTATTTTATGTGTATGAGTGTACTGCCCACATGTATTTAAGAGCAGCCAAGTTGTGCAATGCCTGTGGAGGTCAGAAGAAGGCATCAGATTCTCCTGGAACTGGTGTTAGGCCAGAACTTAATCACTATGTGGGTACCAGGAATCAAACCCAGTTCCTCTGCAAGAGCAGTCAGTGCTCTTAACTGCCAAGCCATCTCTCCAGTCTCTTAGTCTCTTGATTTTTAAGCAGCTTTATTTAGTCATCTATTTTGGTATTTTTTACATTTATTTATTTATTTAGTGTGTATGTATATATGTACAATGGGTGGGGGCATACAAGTACCACAGTGCATACGTGAAGGTCAAAGGGCAACTTGTGGGAGTTCTCTCTTTCCATCATGTGGATCCTGAGGATCAAACACAGATTGTCAACTTGGCAGCAAACACCTTTACCCACTGAGCTATCTCACTAGCCCTATTTATTTTTGAAACAAGAGCTTATTCTTTAGCCCAGGCTGGCCTGGAACTCAAGATCCTCCTGCCTCATTCTCTCTAGTTCTGGAATTACAGGCATGAGTAATTATATCTAGCTCTGAAACTTTGATTTAAAAATGATTCAAGGCCAGCAAGATGGCTTTGAGGTAAAGGTGCTTGCCTCAAAAGTCTGGTTACTTATGGTCAAAATTGGAACCCATATAAAAGGTGGAAGGGAAGAATCAACTCTATTCCACAAAGTTTCTTCTGACCACACACATGATGTGGCATGTGATATGCCACCCCCTTACAATGTATAAACACACACACACACACCACCACCACCACCACCACCACCACCGATAAATTTTTTTTTAAAAATTTCTTTTTGGTCTTTTTGAGACAGTCTCCCTGTATTCCTGTAGCCCCAGCTGGCCTAGACTCAGTCTCACAGAAATTCACCTGCCTCTGCCTCCCAAGTGCTGAAATTAAGGGTGTGAACCACCATGCCCAGCTGAAAGAATTTTTAAAGAGACTCTAAACTGGGAGTGGTGGCACACACCTGTAATACCAGCATTCTGGAGGATTATCACAAGTCAGGGCAATCTTGGTCTGCATAGTGCGTTCCAGGCCAGCCAGGATTGGAAAAAAAAAAAACAAAACACCAGAAACAAAAACGAGATTCCAGGCTGGGGATATAGCTCATCGGTAGAACATTTGCTTAGCATGTATGATGTCCTAAATTCAATCCAGCACTGTCTTAAAAAGTGAGATTCCAGGGCTGGAGAGATGGCTCAGCGGTTAAGAACGCTGGTGGTTCTTGCAGAAGACCTGGGTTCAAATCCCAGCACCCACATGGCAACTAACAACTGTCCATAACTCCAGTCCCAGGGGATCTGACAGCCTCTTCTGACCTCTGCAGGCATTGCACGACACGGGTGCACTTATCTACAGGCAGGCAATACACACATACACATAAAATAATAAAACATTTTTTTAAAGTTTAATAAAAAAGTGAAATTCCATTTCACATTATTACACAAAAACCACACTTGTAGACTTGAATAAGGAGATTTAAATTAATAATATGAACAAGTATTTACCTTCTGGAGTTGCTTTATGATGTCTTCATCTCTGTTTAGATATGGCTTGTAAGAAGTATAAACTCCTAAGAAGTGAAAAAAAAGATGACAAACGGAAAAAACCAACTACCTGGGTGAGTATATATTTAAATATTTTATTTTTATTATTTTTATTTTTTGTGTACGATTGTATTGCCTGCATGTGTTGAAGTGCACCCATGTTGTACAATGCCCTCAGGAGTCAGAAGAGGGCATCGGATTTCCCTGGAACTAGAGTTATGGATGGTTGTTAGCCACCATGTGGGTGCTGGGATTTGAACCCAGGTCTTCTGCAAGAACAACCAGTGTTTTTTTTTTTTTTTTTTTGTCATTTTGAGACAGGGTTTTCTTGTAGTCCCAGCTGTCCTGGAACTCACCATGTAGACCAGGCTGGCCTTGAACTCACAAAGATCAGCCTGCCTCTGCCTCCCAAGTGCTGGGATTAAAGGCGTGTGCCACCACACCAGCTACAACCAATGTTCTTAACAGCTCAGCCAACTCTCCAGCCCCATGAGTAAGTATATATTTAAATATTAATAAACATTTGTGACACAAAGATGGCTCAACAGTTAGAGGCACTTCCTGTGCAAGCCTGACAACCTGAGTTTGATCTCCAGAATCCATGGTGGAAGAAGTGTACCGACTCCCACATGTTGTCCTCTGACTGCCACACATGCACTGTGGCACTAGTAAGCCCACATTCCCAAGCACATACACAATAATAAAAGTAACTAATAAAAGTCTTAGAAGTCAATACCAGGTTTAGAATCCAGAGTTTTTAGGTTCTTCAATTTTTTCACTTTAACTTGCTTAGGAATTTCACCTGAAAGAAACAACATAAAGATTCTTATAAACTGGAGTGGGGATGTAGCTCAGTGATCAAATGCTTACCTATACATGCTACAAAATAGAACTCATAAGATTAATAATATACTATTTATTAGCCAGGTATTTTATTGCTTAAGTTTTCTTTCTCCTTTTTTAAAAATCGGTTTTGCTATATAGTTCAGGTTAGCTTTGAACTCATACCCTTCTGCCCCAGCTGCCTGAGTGCACATGCTCCCCTGTCCACATGGCTTATTTTCAATGAATAAGCAAGCCATACAGATTGTCAACTTGAGGTAGAGATAAACACCTACCAAGAGTGGAAAATTTATGATGCCCATAGACTGAGCTCCAAAAAAGGCCAGTAACACAGAACTGAGGAACAGAAACAGGGCATGATGGGATTAGCTTCAGCTCTGAAACTGAAAGATCTCCAACAGATTATCTGGAACATGGAGAACTTGAATGTAATAGTTTAACCCTGCACAGCACCCACAGTTAGATGATAAAGTACTAAAAGATAAGCAATAAAATGCTACGAGAAGCATTTAAATGTATTCTATGACTTTCAAAGAGAAAAATCTAGATGTGTACAAAGAACTGAAAAGGCTAGAAGTAGAGTATGAACAGATCAGGGCTCAACTGAGTCAATATTTTGGAACTGTCAAGAACTTATTTAAAATATTTTTATTATTTTTATGTGTATGAGTGTATTGCCTGCACATATGTGAGTGCACCCGTGTCGTGCAATGCTGTGGAGGTCAGAAGAGGGCTTCAGATTCCCCTGGAAATGGAGTTAAGGATGGTTCGTAGCTGCCATGCTGGGAATGAAACCCGGGACCTCTGCAAGAGCAGTCAGTGCTCTTAACGGCTGAGCCATCTCTCCATCCCCAAGTATTTAAACACACACACACACACACACACACACACACACACACACGTGCGTCATGCATCCCTCATGTGGCGGTCAGAGGAAGTACGTTTCCACCTTGTGGGTTCCAGGGATCAAACTCAGGTTGTCATGCTTGGTGGCAAACACCTTTATTCACTAAGCCATCTTGCTGGTTCATCCTCTATCTTTAAAACCTCAGCCTATAATTCATTGCCATCAATTTCTATTCATCTTCTTCTTGTGGACATGATGTTTCACATTTGGCCCTAGCAGGAAACCTTTACCTAGGCCACCTCCCATCCCAAGTCTTACAGATATATAGCTTTGCTCTAGATCTTCCCTGTCATAGGTGAGACTTAGATGTGTTATACAGTCTTGAGGTAGGAGGACTGTCCTAAGCTCAAGGACAATCAGGGTTACACAGCAAGACCTTAAGAAGGGAGGGGAAGAGGGGAAGAAGGGAGGGACAGAGAAGTCAGGTCTAAATGTACACTTTGTAGAATGCCTGGGAAAATGAAGGAAGAACAAGGAGGAGCTCATTCATCTCCCAGTCTTGCTTTCAATGGCAGGTAGAAAATTCCTGAGGTGGAATGAGATGTAGAGGGATTTTGGGGGGAGAGTGAAGATGATTCTGATGTTTCTGATATTTCTGAAGCAGAAAAGCAATCACAAAAACAGCAAAAAGAAAACTCATTCTGAAGGAACCTCTATTGCTTCTTCACAGCAGCATACTTCACCACATCTGTTTCTTCTCACACATAAGCATCTCCAATGCCAGGACCACCACCTCTTAGGCCGCTGCTTCCTCTACCCTTTGGTCTCCTTGACTATATATAGGCCTTCTTCCTAGATAACCACCTCTCCCAAGACATCTGGAATGCCCACTCTGAGGATCTTAACAACTTTTAAATATCCAGGACCACTACCAGGCCAATTTACTGGCCCTACTCAGGTCCACTTCTAGGTCTGCCTCTTAGCCTTCTTTCTTGACGACCTCCACTGAAGTTACCTACTCCTGCACCTCCAGGTATTCCTCCAACTCATCCCACTTTGGTGACTCTACTTAGGCCTTTTCCACCAGCCCCTTTACTGAATACAGGGGATGTTAAGAGCCCCACTCAACGTGATTCAATGATACAGGGAGACTATACAAATATAGCCACCATTGAGAAGAAAGCCATAGCAACATCAGTGCTAAGCAACAGGTCACTAACTCCAAGGCACAGATTACTCAATCTCTGCCTACTGCACTGAGGTATGCTGGAAGAATAAAGGGGCTGCCATTGCTCCCCAAAGAAAGTCAACAGATCTTCTGTGCCTCTTCAAAGCAGCCCCCAAATCTGCTCCTTGTGTTTCTGTCTCAGTGCAAGCTAAGGATGTTTATGAAGCTCCATGAAAGATGAGAGGGCTGGCAGGATAGCTTTTGTTGGCAGAAGAGGCTTCTGTTCCCAACAGTGGTTCATGAAACAAAAGTTCTTATGAAACTTATGTGAAAATACTACAATAGTCTTACTTTGTAGCCAAAGGTGACCTCAAGCTCACAGAGATCTTGCTGGCATTACAGGAATAAGCCACCATAGCCAGTGAACACAGGGAATTTTCTCATTCTCAATGAGAAACATTAAGTTTTAGTGTTGCTTGGAATTTACTGTGCAGAGAGAGGGCATTTTGTTCAGGAAACATACTAAAGCAATGTGGCTAATGTGCATCCCCTTTCGCACCACCACTGCCACCTCTTTTCCCTCTTCACACCACTGTCACCTCCCTTTGTCCCCTTCCCTACTTCTGTTTGTTTTGTCTATTTTTGAGACAGGGTCTTGCTATGTAGTCCTCATTGGCCTAGAACTTGCCAAGTAGACTCAGCTGGTCTTGAACTTCTACTGATCCTCTTGCCTCTGCCTTAGTAGTACTGGGATCACAGGTATATACCATCATGCTAGTGCCCCTTCTCTAGTTCTTTGAAAATTTACGATAAAGGGAACCTTGTTACTTGCTTTGGTTTTCTTATTGTGTTTGGTGGGCACTGGAGTACAGATTTTTGAAAAAATAATTTCATCTTGAATTTTGAAAACTTTTTGTATTTATGTATTTAGTGTGTGTGTGTGTGTGTGCGTGCATGCGCACGTGCGCAAACATGTTATGAAATACATAATAAGGTCAAAAGACAACTTGCAAGAGTTGGTTCTCTTCTACCATGTGAGTTGTATGATAGAACTCTGATCATCAGGCTAAGTGACAAGCACCTTTATCCACTGAGCTATCTTGCTAGCCCTTATCTTGATTTTTGTATTGAATTTATTTTAATTTATTTGTATTTATGTATATGAATGTTTTGCCTGCATGTACGTACACCTGTGTCATGCAATGCCCACAGAGGCCAGAAAAGGACATCAGATCCTATGGAGTTGGGAGCTACAGACTGTTAGCCTCCATGTGGATGCTGGGTATTGAACCTAGGTCCTTTGCAAGAGCAGCCAGTGCTCTTAACTGCTGATCCATCCATCGCACCAGCCCTATGTATTGAGTTATTTTTAATATTTTCCTATGACCTTTTTGTAGTATTTTACTTGTAGTGAAATGGATAACAATGCCATTCCCTAATACAAAGCAAAATGTATGGGAAGAAAATGTATTAATTCTTTGATTAAAATTATTTCCCACTGACCTAAACTTTGGGTGTTTTACGGAAAAAAAATATATACTAGAAAAAAAAAGTAAATGGAGAGGATTGCCAAGGGGCTGTGCAGATGTAGTATTCAAAGGTTTATTTTTCTAGTATCTTTCCAAATTCTGCTTTTGTACTGCAGAGCTTATACTGCCACCAAATGATAACAGTGTGCATAACAACCACAGGTCTGAGCCACAGATGGCTGCTGTGTTGAACAATCTGTGTAGTACATGTTTTAACTTAGTGGTCTCAAAGCAAAGGATGACCTTCAATGTCTGATCCTCCTATCTCCACTTCCTAAAGTGCTGAGATTACAATCACACAGGGTTTATACAGTGCTGGGGATCAAACCCAAGGCTTCATGTATGAAGTTAGTAGAGGCAAGCGCTCTACTAAATAAGCTATGGCCTCAGCTCCACAAATCATCTTTTAACACTGCCACCAAGCAATAATGATGTATCCCATGACCACGGGAGTAAGTCAGATGGACAGGACTCCTGAAAAGAGTTACTGGACTGCACACTTAGAAGCTCAAGGGAGCAAAGACTAAAGAATAACATGTACCAACTGTAGAGTACTGCTCCTGTATAGAAAGTGAACTTGATGAACGAATGGGCAGCAGGGGAAGAGACAAGGGAATTCCTGGAACTGCAAAGGAGATAAAACTGACATGAACAAACTGAATGAAAGAAAAAGGTCAAGAAAAAAATCTGGTTCCTAAAATATTTTAGATTCATTAGCACACAGCTCTACCTTTACCAAGTTCTACTACCTTTCCTATGTGCTAGTTCTTTTTTAAGGTTTATCTTTTTTATGCATATGAGTGTTGTGCCTGCATATGGTGTGTGCACTACATACATGCATAGATCTGAGGAGGCCAGAGAGGGTGCCAAATCCTGTGGAACTGGAGTTTCAAATGGCTGTAAGCCACCACGTGAGTCCTCTGCAAGAGAAGTCAGTGCTCTTAACCACTGAGTCATCTCTGCAGTCCTAGCCAGGTAATAATTCTTATGAGAACAGGACTCACCATCAATCTTGTGGTTTTGCTTTCTATACTTCAGAGTAATGGCCACCTACCACAAGACTTCCTCCCCTTAAGAAGTTCAGAATGATTACATAGTAACTAAATTAAGACATTTATCTGCCTCTTCTCAAGAATCTAAACATCAAGTAGTAAAACTACAATGATTTAAGCCAGGTATGGTGGCACTTGCTTGTAATCCCAGCAGTTGGGAGGTAGAGGCAGGAGAATCAGGAGTTTCAGGCTAACCTCAGCTACACAGTAAGTTTGAGGTTAGCCTGAGCTATATGAGACCACATCTCAGAAAAAAAAAAAAGTCCAAATGATTTACAGATTTAGTTTCCTTTCACTCTAAGTCACAAAGCATGAACAATTCTCATATCCACCAATGCTGTCTATCATATTATTTCCTGAAACTCACTGTGCAGAAAGAACTGAGTAACAGTGGGGAGTATAATTTAACAGTGAGTTTCATTATTTTTTATAGCCACTGAGTTCATGGTAATAATGAAAATACATAGTGATTCACAGATGTCTTGTAAAATGACAAAGGACAAGGACACAGCAGCGTAGAAGACTTCACTCTGATTCAAGAAGCCTCATCAGGTAGAAGACATACACTGAGTTCCAATCCTGGCCATTTGACTTACATCAAATATTTTACTTTCCTGTGATGAAATCACCAAATCCAATTTCTCATCCAAAATGCTCAGTTTATAGTTAGGGCCAATATAAATCACAAGAATTTGTTTTCTTTTTGAGGGACCCCTGTTGTGTATTGTTATCCTAAGATTGCATTTCTCATTTCAATATCAAGTAGTGGACTAAACAGGTAAATACAGAAAAAGCCTCTTGACAGCAGGACTGATTTCTTTGAAGTGTTAAAACCAAATGCACATTCTAGGATATGAATACGAACCTCTGAGCACAAGAGAACATTTAAAGTTCTGCTATGCAACTCCCTCTGAGCCTATAGAATGTGCTTTTACTGCTTGATCCTTTCAGACTCTTCAGAGCTTTCAAAGCCAGAATCCTGAGAAGGGCTTTGTGTTGCCCACCTTGTACAGCAATACAATGGGCCTGGTTTGAGATCAAGAAGCAAAAAAAAAAAGCCCTAAGATATAATCCAGATGTTTAAGGTTGAAAAGATAAATCAGACCTCATGAATATGACACTAAACCCCCAAGAAATAAAACATATATAAAGAACGTCATCAAAGTCAAAAACTCTGATGCATAAAAGGACACTATCAAAAGAGAAAAAAGCAGCCTACAGAATGATGAGAAATATTTACAAAATACATCTGGTAAGAGACTAGCACTTGGTTTATATAAAGAACTATAACAATCAAAAGTAGGAAATGATTTGAATGGGCATTTCTCCAAAAAAAGATACAAAAGACACATGTAAAGACAGTCTACACTGTTAACAACTAGGGAAAGGCAAATGAAAACCACATCAACATCACCCCATACACATTAAGATGGTCACTATAAAAGAGTGATGGGGCTGCTGAGATGGGTCAGCTGGTAAAGGCGCTTGCTCTCAAGCTGGACAACCTGAGTATGATCCCTGGGACCCATGTGGTAGAAGCAGAAAGCGGATTCCTGTAAGTTGTCCTTTGACCTGACATACATGCACGCATGTGCATGCATACACACACACACACACACAAATAAATGTAATAAAAAAGAGTGAAGATACGGCATGAAGAAACTGGAACTTGTGCATTGCTAGTGGGAATGTAAAATGGAAACAGTATAGCAGTTCCTCAAAAAGCAAAGAGGATTAGAGTATAGCTCAGTAATAGAGCACTTCCCTAGCATGCATAAGGCCCTGAGTTATACTCCCAGCACCCAGGCCTCAGTGACTCTGAAGAATCTAGAAAGTATAATGCTTTTATACATCAACTATCTGGCAGAAAAACTGAAAATCTAGGACAGTGAGATGGCTCAGTAGGTAATGTCCAGCCTGACAACCTGAGTTTGATCCCTGGGACCCACATGGTGGAAGCAGAGAACCAACTCCCCAAAGTTTGCCCCTAACCTCCACATGTGTGCCACGGCATGCACACACTCATACACACATAAATAAATTAATAATAAAAAATAAAAACTGCTAGGCAATGGAATGGTCCAAATAATAGAACACAATATCTCTTCTCTAAGACAGACTGCTAAAAATGTCATCAATATGCTATAATACCCTCATCCACATTTTGAAAAATAAAGAGCTATTTCTCTTCCTTCCCCTGATCCTAGGTCCTATTTTTAAGCAGTCAAGTTCACTTGCCAGGAGATTTTTAGATGTAAGAATGCCTTTAGAGTTGTCACAAGATGAGAAACTAAAAACCAGTATTTCTTACAGGTAAGAGATGTAAAAGGCCTCCAGATATAGTAACAGATAAATGAGGCAATACAAAAAAAAAGGAGTATAATTCACAACTAAATGAGATTTACCTAAAAAACTGAAAGTTGGTCGAGTATCTAATTGTCTTATTAATAGAAGAGTAAAAGTCTGTAGCAGCAACCTCTTACAATTCAGTAAGAAGACAATCTATTTAAAACAGCAATAATATAGGAATGGAGACACATGCCTGTAATCCTAGCACTAGGGAGAAGGAGGCAACAGGATCAGGAGTTCAAGAATACTCTCTGACACAGGCAGTTTGAGGCCAGCTTGAGCTACATGAGATCCTGTCCTAAAAAAACCACCAAAGAATTTTAAAAAATTTTTTTGGTTTATTTTTTTTATTTTATATGTGTGAGTGTTTTGCTGAGTGTCTCTAAGTGTACCTGTGTTGTGCAGTGCCTGAGGGGGCCAGAAAAGGGTGTTAGATACCCTAAAACTAGAGTTACAGGCAATTGTTAGGGGCCATATAGGTGCTGGGAACCAAACCCGGGTCTACTACAAGAATACCCAGTGCTCTTAACCACTGAGGCATCTCTCCAGCCCCAACAAAGGATTTAAATAGTGATTTCATCAAAGAAGACATATATGAATAGGTCACTCAGATAAGAAAGTAAACTCTGTATGAGAAGATGTAAAATAATAAGTAGATGAAAGCATGTTCACCATGCTTAGTCATTAAGGGAAAGCAGATTCAAACACTATTTCAAGCACACTAAAATCATCATAATGAAAAAGATACTATCCAAATAATGCAAGGATGGGTAGACATGGAAACCCACATATACTGTGGTTAGAATGTGAAGTATTGGGCTACTTTGGAAAACAGTACACTGATTATTTAAATATATTTACCAGTTCATACTACTATACCAATGATTCCCAGCAAAGGTTCCCTACCTACATCTCTAAGGGAATCTTTTTCACTGGGAAGAAAAAATAAACAACAGTCTACTATATTATAGTCAATCAAATAGTCTAGATTAGTATAACTATACCATAAAAATAAATATCAAGATCATTTTTTAATACCTAAGAGTTGAGTAACCCCTGTTCTCTGAACTATCATTTACACTCATCAGAACACTAACAGAATGACAGGAAATCATGACATTTATATAGCACCATGCTGTTTTTATTCCTCCCAACAGAAAATGATGTGCCGGCCTAAATAGACTGATCTGCCTAATATCCCACCGTTCTGATCCCTAAGGTGAAGTCTTTTGCTTTTTCCTGTATTTCATAAGGCCTCTAAGGACTTCAACGTGAAACTGAGTCCAGGATTTAAATCTTTTTGTTCATTTTGTCTTTTTTGTCTACAGTTTTTTGTTTTTTTTTTTTTTCTTTTTGGGAGGGAAGGAGGTCTGGTCTTTTTGAGTCAGGGTCTCCCTGTAGCCCCAGCTGGCCTGGAACTATGTAGACCAGGCTTCCCTTGAATTCACAAAGATCCACATGCCTCTGCCTCCTTGAGTGCTGGGACCAAAGGCATACACCACCACACCCAGCTTTGTTGTTTTGTTTTGTTTTTGTTTTTTGGTGGGACAGGGGTTTTATGTAGTTCAGGCTTGTCTCAAGCTGATCCTCTTGCCTCTAGTTCTTTAATGCTGGGATTACAGATATGTACCACCATGCTTATCTTAGCATTTGTAAATAATATTATGTTATCATGACTCTAATACATCAGGATATATGGTATCTGAAAGAACTTCTTATAAATTAGTACTGAATGTCTTTAATCTATGTATTAACTAGAAGGAACAAAAGGTTATTAAGACATATTATAAAGATATTAAAATACATTTAGATATCTCATATAGCAGTTATTTCAGTGAAAATTCAGGAATGTTCTGTGAGGAATGTCAGAGGTATCATTAAATTGGCATTCAAATGTAACATCCAGCCTTGGAATTCATTTATTCATTTCATAAACAATTATTCACTTCCTATAATAAGATATTCTGTCTTTTTTTCAAGGAAAGTACAACTTGAGATGACTCTTCGTCAATAGATGTGGCACAGAGGTTCTAAAACTCTTGTTTTATGACCTATCTGAGAATTTTGTGCCAAGTCTGGAATAATTATTATCATTTTTTTTAAGTCAGGGTCTTAGCTCATGCTGGTCTGGAACTCAGTGTGTAACCCAAGTTGGCCTTGAACTCACAATCCTCTTGCCTTAGACTCTCGAGTGCTAGGATTACAGATGGGTTCTATCATGTCTGGCTATTATTTTAGTTTTCTATAAGATTTTCCTTAAGCAATACTAAAAATCCCTATTTTATTTGGGTTATAAAATAAAAAGCTCAGTCTTCTGAAGTTTTACACTATTATAATCTTTTTTGGATAGGGCTTATACTGCCCATTAATCACTTTTTCCCTACTTTCTATTGAATTTTTGCAATTTTCATACAATATATTTTAATGGTATTTAGATCCCCTCCTCTATAAATACCACCCCCCTAAAATTTTTTTTTGATTTTTTTTAATGTGTATGAGTTTTTTTTGCCTGTGCATAGATGAAAGTACACCTATGTCATGCAATGCCTGCAGAGGCCAGAAGAGGGTGTTGGATTCCCTGAAATTGGAGTGCTGGGAACTGAACCTGGGTCCTCTCCAGTAGTCAGTGTTCTCAACCACTGAACCATCTCTTCAGCCCTATGTCCATTTTAGTGAGGTTATAGTCTTCTCCAAAGGCTCTTACTTAGGTTGCTGCAAAGAACATTGCCAATAATGTAAATTATAAGGGATGAAAGCAAAGGAAAAGAAATAAGTCTGTTCAGTCATATTACACACTATGAACACCAAGCAGATACTTTACCTGGAGGTTTCAGATCTCCTATTCGAATAATGTGCGGCCAGTGCTGGAGTGTTTTAGCAAAAAAAGGGTTGGTTACTCCTAATATGACTGAGGGCCTATATAAAAATATAAAACAAAACAAAAGGTGAAAAAAGATGAATATTAAATCACAGAATAGTTTACAATTTCTTCTGAGTGAACAATACATATTCTCTTTTCCTTTACTTGATTTACTACTACCAACAACATGACAAGCAACATATTTAACAGTACACATAAAAGACCAAAAGACATGATCCTTACAACAGCACATAGACATAAAGGCATACACACACAAGCACAATGTCAACAATTAGAAGACACTGAAGAGGGAATAAAATGCACAGTAATCACAAAGGAGAACCTAGAGTCTGCCAGGGAATTAAAGGGCAGCCTCACAAAGAGATGACACTGACAAGACATGAAAGATGGGTAGTTTTCTGCCAAGTAGATAAGAGAGGTAAGGGTAATGCAGGAGAACAGTATATGCTAGGGAATGAGGTGAGATCACAGTGTACACATACAACTACACACAGAATCACAGGTACTTCAGCATTCCTAGAGCACAAGGCGGGAAGGATGAATAGTTAGAAATGAAAGTTAATGGCAGCACTAAGTTTATATGCTAAAAACTGTCAATGCCATCTTACAGGCAAAAAGAAGTCACAAGGGAATCAAGTGGAGGCAAGTCATACGAATGAGAAAGATCTCTATGCGGGAAATGTGAAAGATGCCCTATCAAGAGGGGAAAGATTGTGAGCAAAGCAACAGTAGATGAGAAAAACTAGAGGAAGTGGTACTGGGAAGGGTACTGTGCAAAGAAGATAATAGTAGGCAGAGAGATATTTTAGACTGTTGAACTGACAGAATTGAGTTAAAATTTATTGTGGGCAATGTTAAGAAGAAACATAACTAAGTTTCTGATAACTAAGTAAAAACTAGTGCCAGTTATGAAAAAAAAAAGAATGGACACAGATTAGCATAAAAAGAGGAAGATAAAAAGAATTCAGTTTAATCATGCTTAATTTCAGACACATTAAGACATACAGGTGTGATTTTGGCATGGCGACACATGCCTAGAATTCCAGCACTTGGGAGGCAAAGACAGGAGGATAAGGAATCCAAGATCATCCTAATCTACGTATCAAGTTCAAGAATAGCTGGTCTACATTGTGAGTTCTGGGCCAGCAATATTACATACTGAGACCCTGTCCTTTAAAAAAGAAAAAAGAGCCGAGTGTGGTGGTGCACTTCTTTAATTCAGGCCAGCTATGACTATAGGGAGACCCTGTCCCAAAAAGACCAAAAAAGAAAAGAGATATACAGGTGTAATGTTCTAAACAATCAAATAATCCCTGGGCATATAGGTATGGACCTTGAAGAGATCTGGGTCATTAGTATAGTCTTCTATTATTTTTTTTTAAAGACAGCCCTGGGTGGCCCTGAACTCACTGCAATCCTCCTGGCTCATCCTCCCAAGGGCTGAGATTACAGGCATGAACTAGCACATCAAGCTAATATAGGTTTTTACATTAATTTAAATTAAATACAGTTATTTAGTTCAGAGAGTTTGTGTGTGTTTGTGTGTGAGTCACATGAGAATGTCATGGCACTCATGTGGGGGTCAGAAGACAACTTTCAAGAGTTGATTCTCGCCTTTCACCTTCCTGGAGCAGGCTCCCTTTTGTGTCTGCTACTGCAATGCTTCCTTCATGCTAGCTTCCAGGTGATTCTCCTGTCTCTGCCTCCCATCTAACTGTAGGAGTGCTTGGATTACAGATGTGGGTCATTGCATCCGGCTTTTAACGAGGGTTCCAGGAATCAAATTAGGGTCATCGGGCTTGCATCACAAGCACTTTTACACACTCTGGCATCTCATCAGCTTTAGTATAGGGTCTTAACAGAGACCATGGATACTATTAAGAGTGTTAGAAAATTAAACAATTTCATAATACAATATTTGAGAACATCAATATTTAAGGGGCTAGCAGAGAAAAGAAATCTACATAGAAAACCAAAATATACCACCAGACAGCCAGGAGATAGGAAGATAAAGGATTAAGATATTTAGAAGTAACAAGGGGTGGTGGTGGCACATGCCTTTAATCCCTTCAGAGGCTGAGGCAGGAGGACCAAGAATTCAAGGCCAGCCTTGACTATATACAGAATTCAAGGCCAGTCTGCATTATCTGAAATCCCGATTAAAGAGAAAGAAAACACAAAAGGAATAATACTACAAGTAAAGGTAGAAAAAAAAAAAATAGAGCAATGGGGTGCTCACTAGGACAGGCAGTGAGAACAGGAAAGACCTAATGGGTATTGAGGTCAGCCTGCAGATACTGGGAAGTAACCAGAAAATCAAGAAGAGTAAGTAAATGGAAATTATTTTTATTATTCTAAAACTTTTAAGCTATGAAAAGAAGATAAAGCAATAATAAAACAGGAGCTAAAATGGAAAGGGTAAGATTATTTGCCCCTTCCGAAGATTAGATTTTTCATATTTAGAGTAGAATCAAAAGTATAGTTGGATGACTGCTAATGACAATACAGATTCTCTTAAGTAAAATCACTTGTAGAAAGTAAGTTACTCTTTAAGTCTTAAGTTATTGGCAACAGCTCCTCAAACCTTTTAAAAAATTAATCTGTCCATTAGTTAACATTTTAAATTAAAATTTTATTACCAACAATAATTCTACATAATTTTGGTTATTAAGGTTAATACTTGGCCAATAAAAGTTATTCTATTTACTCACGGAGCTTGAGTACGTGTAGTATATTCTTTGAATTCACTATCATGAATTGTAAAGTAAGGTCGAAAATCGCTGAAGTATTTTAATGGCAAAATACAGCTGTGAAAAAGGAATATCATGTAAACAAGAGACACAGAAATTAAAGGCTCTACTTCGTAACCTGAAACATTAATATAAATAATGTATGCCCAAGAGGATAAATTATTTTAGTAAGTGGTAAACTCATTTTAGGGAACTAAAATCACAAATAGAAATGGAATGACATATTGAAAAAAACATTAGTCTTAGAGGAGAAGAGGGGGATAAAATTCTGGCTCCACCATTTACTAGCTGGGTGCCTTTGGTTAAACACTGACCACCAATATAACTGATATTTATCAAGGCCCAACTTCATACATGTGAATAAATGTCCTTGTTACTCAAAGTAACAAAAACACGGTTCCAGATCTTATGGGAACTGAATTAGTCTTCTCATTCATTCTCACAGGGTTGTTATAAGGATATGGGGAAACATCACAGATTAGAGACGCTGCAAGTGTCAGGATCAGGAGCCTAATATACTCACTTCACAAGGGCCAGTACAGTTTCTGAGGATTCTGATGGTGACGGTGCCATGACCACAAGGGGCTCTCCCAACAGCACCAACTCCCAAAGCATCTGACTGTGAAGGAAAACTGGGCAGAAACACCTAAAAATGTTTACACAGTAGAAATACTTATTTATCCAATTTTGCCTTTCAAATTCCTACATAATCATTCAAAGAACTTCACATTGATATCCGTTTTTTTCTGCTACTGGTAGCTTGACTGCTAAATTAATCTAGAATATGGCAAAACACAGAGATATGTCTCTTTTATATACAGAAACTATATATCAAAGCCAGATGTATGGCACAGTCCTGTAATCCCAGTACTTGGAAGGTGGAGGCAAGAGATCAGGAGTTCAATATTATCCTCCAATACATAATGAGTTCAAGACCAGCGTGCACTGCACAAGAAAGACCTGTTTCAAAAAGAAGGGGTAGAGGAAAGAGGAAAACACCCAACCAAACGATATATCAGTTTGACTCATTTCAACTTTGATTTTGTTTTTTATTGAAACGGCGTCTCATTCTGTAGCACTGCATGGCCTGTAACTCACTATGTAGGATCAGGCTGGCCTTGAACTCGCAGAGATCTGCCTGCCTCTGCCTGCTTCTGCCTCCTGAGTGTTGGTATTGAAAGTATGTGCAGCCCCACCTCATTCCAATTTTTAATATCAGTTTGACTCATTTCAACTTTGATTTTGTTTTTTATTGAAACGGCGTCTCATTCTGTAGCACTGCATGGCCTGTAACTCACTATGTAGGATCAGGCTGGCCTTGAACTCGCAGAGATCTGCCTGCCTCTGCCTGCTTCTGCCTCCTGAGTGTTGGTATTGAAAGTATGTGCAGCCCCACCTCATTCCAATTTTTATTTTATTCTATTTATTTATTTATTTATTTATTTATTTATTTATTTATTTATTTATTTATTTATTTATTTATTTATTTATTTATTTATTTATTTATTTATTTATTTATTTATTTATTTATTTATTTATTTATTTATTTATTTATTTATTTATTTATTTAAAGTGCTGGGGCTACGGCCATGCGCGATCACACCTGGCTTATTTTTATTTTTTTTTATTTAAGGGAGCCAAAAACTTTTTTTTTTTTAATGTGTATGCATGTATTGCCTGCATGTAGGTAAGTGCACCCTTGTTTTGCAATGCCCGCAGAGGTCAGAAGCGGCTGTTGGATCCCCTGGGACTGGAGTTACAGACAATTGTTAGCTGCCATGTGGGTGCTGGGATTCGAACCCAGGTCTTCTGCAAGAACACCCAGTGTTCTTAACAGCCGAGCGAGCTCTCCAGCCCCTATTAGTTTTATTTTATGTGTATGAGTATATTACTTGCATGTATGTGAGTGCACCTGTGTCGTGCAATGCTGCAGAGGTCAGAAGAGAGCTTCAGATTCCCCTGGAACTGGAGTTAAGGATGGTTCATAGCCATGTGGGTTCTGGGAATTGAACCCAGGTCCTCTGCAAGAGCAGTCAGTGCTCTTAACCACTGAGCCATCTCTCCAGCCCCCACAGCCAATTTTTATAAAATTAAATGCAGTACAATTACGTACAGATTGGCTGACAACAGGGCTGGACCTCCAGTCCAGAGGATTGGTCACCCTTTTCTGGCCTCTGAAGGAACTGCACGACATGGGTGCATTTACATATACGCAAACAACACACTTATACATATAATATAAAAATAATAATGGCCGGGCTTGGTGGCACACACCTTTAATTCCAGCACTCGGGAGGCAGAGGCAGGCAGATCTCTGTGAGTTCAAGGCCAGCCTGGTCTACATAGTGAGTTCCAGGACAGCTGGGGCAACAGGGAGACCCTGTCTCAAAAAGACCAAAATAATAATAATAATAATAATAATAATAAAAAGAATAAATAGAAAAGAAGAGCTGACAATAGAAGTATATAATCAAATTGTTTTACCATATAACAGACCTATTTTATTAGCATTGGTTTTTTGAGACAGGGTCTCCCTGCAGCCCCAGCTGGCCTGGAACTCACTATATATAGACCAGGCTGCTCTTGAACTCACAGATATCCACTTGCCTCTGCCTCCCAAATGGTGGTGTTGGCACCACCACTCCCAGTTATAGCATTGCTTGGATATGCTTGAATTCTATTCTAAATATTTTGAACAAAACAAAAATTAGTCTTCCAAGGGGGCATTCATTTACTTAAAACCCAATGCTGGGCTAGGAGTTGAATTTTGTGTAGAGCATATCCTTTGCCAATATGCAAGGCCATGGGTTCAATCGCCAGAATGCAAACAGAGACATACACGCTCTCCAAAGTGAAAACCCAATGCGTTTTTAGAGTAGTCAAGTGCAATAATAAGGAAAAGAACAGAACAAGAAGTTCAATCTGAAACTGGCTGTGATGGATTGAAATAACTATCTTTGGATCAGTCAAAGAGATTAGGCTTTTTATATCACAGAATGATGACAGTGAGTCACAAGGGGGAGCTCTGAAGAACACAACTCATACCTGGACAACACTTCTCCCAAAGAAAGACTGCGTATTTTCACAGCAGCCCTGGAATTGGTGGAGGCCTGTGAGGATGCAACTCCACTAGTCTGTTATTAAGCCTCAGACCTTGTTAACCTTTACTTATTTAGTAATTTGTCTTGTTTAGTAACAATTCTTCCCTAGCAGACTAGAGAGGGAAGAAGTATTTCTGAACATTACAACTAATCTAACTAGTAAAAAACACAAATATCCCAAAATTCAAAATAACATTTAAAAGCAAGTATGAGACAAAAGTATGAGATTAAAAATTAGGAGGGTTAATTTTAACTGCTCAAAAGTAAGAAGGAAAATGTGAAGTGCCTCCTTCAGAACAGCTAAAGGTCAAAGGAGCTTGTAGTAGGGAGTATAGAAACAAAAGTAAAGAGGGCACTCATGAGGCACTGAGTCAGAGCTTAAGTAGGGGGAAGATGGCATTCACTTGTAGAGATGGTCAAATAGAATACAGGAAGGTGAGCCGGGCATGGTGGCGCACACCTTTAGTCCCAGCACTTGGGAGGCAGAGACAGGCAGATCTTTGCAAGTTCAAAGCCAGCCTGGTCTATATAATGAGTTCAGGTCAGCTTGGACTACAGCGAGACCATCTCAAAAAGACTCAAAAAGACAAAAAAAAAAATTCAGGAAGGTGTACAAAGCAGGACAGTAACCATCTGGGTTGAAATCAGCTTAGAAAGTCAGAGCTGAGCAGGGTGGAGGGTTTCCATGCAAAAGGGTGGCAAGATGTGGAGGATCAGAGTCTAAGGAGGTAAGAAAGGAACATGCATAGGAGACAGGATTACTGTAGAGAGGATAAACTGTTCACCAAAGGGTGGGGGGAGATAATCAGATCAATAAATTAATAAAAGCTTTAAGAGGCCATTTCTCAAAGAGAAGAAATACACATATGAAAAAGGAGAAAAATAGAATGAACCTCATTGTATAACATTGGGATTGAGGGTATTCAGTGTGACTTTGTGGTTTTTAACATATATGGATAGAGAAATACATATTTATATACAATACATGTTTGAAGATCTATTATATTGCATGTATTAGACACACACACACACACACACACACACACACACACACACACCTCTTGTGCAAGTGTACTTTACATGCCAAGAGTCTAGAAGCACCATCTCCCAACAGCCATCTGTAACTCCAGTTCCAAGGGATCTGATGCCCTCTTCTGACCTGTGTCGGCATTGCATGACACAGGTGCACTTACATACATGCAAGCAATACACACATAAAAATTAAAAATTACATATTTAAAAAAGATCGAGCTCTATGCATAAAAATAAAGCGTACTGTCATAGTTAAGTATTAATCATCAGATATTCTGTTTGAGATTATTTTTCATGAATTAGATTTTTCTTTCTTCCTTGGTCTTCTCCCCCATAAATAAAAAGGTATAACACTCATTCCCAGAAGTTCGAAAGAAAAACATATTACGTACAGGCAGGCAGATGGCACACACCTATGCTCCTAGCACTCAGGAGGCTGAGGCAAGACTGTCATGAATTCCAGACCATTCTAGACTACACATTGAGTTCTAGGCTTATTATTGAGTTCCAGGTTTACTCACAATCTATGAAAGGATTCTACATAAATTAAAAACAATAACAGAAAGTATGAGAGATAAGACAGTCAACAAAATTTTTTATTCTTTACCTGAAAAGATCCACCTCATGAACAGTAGGCAAAATAACAGATATTTGTGTGTCTGCCTACAAGACAAAAAAGAAAAAGGGAAGCTATCAACAAAATTTACAGAAATTGAATTTTTAAAATATGCCTGTCTTGCCGGGTGTGGTGGTGCATGCCTTTAATCCCAGCACTCGAGAGGCAGAGGCAGGCGGATCTCTGTGAGTTCAAGGCCAGCCTGGTCTACATAGTGAGTTCCAGGACAGCTGGGGTTACGGGGAGACCCTGTCTCAAAAACATCCCCCCCCCCCAAAATGCCTATCTTGAGCCAGTTATGAAGATATATGCCTGTACTGTGATTCCAGCACTCTGAAGGCAGAGGCAGAATTGTTGAAAATTCAAGGTCAGCCTGAGCTACACAGTGAGTTCCAGGCCAGACAGGGCTACACAGTGAGACCCTATATCAAATAATAATAATAACAATAATAATAATAACAACAACAACAATAATAAATCAAAATAAAACCATGACTATCTAACAATCAATAAGCCACGCTGCCCTGTCCATTTTTGTAAGGTTCTCTTCTTCTGGGAGCAGTCGGAGAGAGAATGGGTCTTTACCAATCTCCCCTAATACAGTAGACTATAAAGATATAAACATCATGGGTGAAGAATTAATCCAATGGCCAGATGTGAAAATAGGTTACAACTGCATGACAATCTACTATTATTAGCACTAGTAGATATATGTAACAAGCAAAAAAAATCAGTTTTCCTACTGCTCTCCAGTTTTAGTCACAGAACAAATGGAAAGGTTAATATATCCACTGAAATATTTCCAATGAAAAATTCGACCCTACTAATGAACAAAAACTGCTTTCAGAAAAATAATAATTCTGGAATCTTTATGACTGAGACTTCTAAAATCAGAAGTCTACTATCTACTCTTCTAAGAAACTATCTTTGGCTGAGTTAAATGCTGTTTAAAACATATGTACTGTCCTCTTGTCCTCACAATTACAGCATAAACTCTGGGTTCTCCAGTATCTACTAGGGTAATAACAAAGAAAAAAACCCAAAAATGTTATAAAATTTATCATCAATTGATTAAAAATTAATGGGATGTTTCAGTAATATCCAGAAATATGTAAAAACCCAAGAAATTGCACTTGCAGTTTACAAGCTGTGCTTACTTTACCTGCTGAGTTAACTGCACCATTTGAGTTGTCCCAGGCTTGTCATGGCATGTGGGAATCCGTACCTAAAAGAGAAAAAGAAATTACCTTTAGCTGTATGAGATGTGCTCTACCTAGCTGCTAAAGACCTACTCAGCAATACTAAAGTGCTATGAAAACCAAGTATTTATGCCAGGTTTAAAACCCCCGGGTATCCATGTTTAGTCATAACAGAAAGTAAGTGAAGCTAGCTTTCCAGTCTATGAACAGAGAAATCGGTAACCACTGGGAAGGGAAGAAAATGTGCTGAAAAACAGAACAAGGACATCCACCTCAGAGTTTCCTGTTTATGTTTCCAGTCTTTGCTTCATAAATATACACACCCTAACACACTCTCTCTAGCTTGCCAAACTTTTGTATAAATGTCACAGGAAACAATGAGAACTCTCAACCCCACACTATCAGAGTTACTCTTGATGCTTTCCCAAGGGGGAGGGGTGCTTAGAAAAAAAACAAAGACACAAGTGACTCTAAAGAAAGGGCACTGTCAAAAATAAACCCAGTGTCAGAATACAAGAATTACAAAGCACTCGAGTACATTCATACAAATCTTGAGAGTAAAATACTAATTCCTTAAAAACAAAGCAATGGGGGCTGGAAAGATGGCTCAGAGGTTAGAAGCATGTCCTGGCAGAGCGCCCTGAGGTCCTCTGGATCTGTCTCTTGCTTCAACAGTGTTTAGATGGAACAGACCCAAGTGCTTTTTTTTTTTCTTTTTGAGACAGGGTCTCCCTATAGCCCTAGCTGGCCTGGAACTTACTATGTAGGTCATGCTAGCCTCAAACTCATAGAGATCAACCTGCCTCTGCCTCCCAAGGGCTGGGATTAAAGGCATGTGCCACCACACCCAGCGTTGTCTCTTTTTAAACTTCTAGCCTCCTTCAGTCTCTCCAGCTACAGCCTCTGGGAACATCTCCTGTCCATCTTCAGCTCCTCAGACTGGCCAATGCTTTCTTTTTTCAGTTATCTCCATACCTGATCAGCCATCACTGGGATAAAGGATCATCCCAGATCCTTCAGCATTATTCCAACAAGGTGAAAGCCCATCTACCACCTGGTCACCTTGTACCTGTGGCCACCTATACCTACCTCTCTCTGGGGTATTATTTGGACCAGACAATGTGGCTCTGGAAGGTGTGGGCCACTTCCCAAATTGGCAGAAATGAGGAGAAGTGCCAGGGCCATGACTGGTCAAATTGCACTGCGGCTGAAGCCATCTCCAGTTAATGGGGTAAAACCCAGGAGGCCATGGAAGCCGCCTTGGCCTGGAGAACTAGAACCAAGTCTTCGTGGATCACCAGATCTCTGTGACTTCCTGGAGAACCACTTCCTGGATGAGGAGGATCTGACCAACCTTTGAAGGCTGGCATGTGCACCCCCCCACCCCACCCCCACCCCCAGTCTCTCTGGGTGAGTATCTCTTTGAGCAACAAGGAGGTCTCCATGCCTTCCATGGGGTTCCCTCCACTGCTCTGCACCAGAGGCCTCCAGACCTCCACCTGAATGGCTTCAGTCACTAGGCAGCTTTATAACCATCCCAGGCCCCTCCTAAGCCTTGAACAACTGAAAATAAAGCTTTTTTGAAACAGAAAAATAAAAAAGAGCATGTACTGCTCTTGCAGAAAACCCACACTCACACTCATATTTCCTGATCATGGCTCACAATTGTCTGTAACTCCAGTTCCACGCGATCAATGTCCCTAGCCTCTGTAGGCACCCACATTCATATGCACAGTCACATACAGACACATACACATATCCAGGACAGCTGGGGTTACAGGGAGACCTTGTCTCAAAAAGACCAAAAAAAAAAAAAAAAAAAAAAGAAAGGTCAGGCATGGTAGTGTATGTCTTTAGTCTCAGCACTTGGGGATGAAGGCAGAGGCAGGTGATAGCTCAGTGTTAGAACACTTGCCTAGTACTTTGAGACCCTGGGTCCAATCTTCAAAATGGGGGGGGGGGGCGGTTAAAAAGGCAAAACATCAAAATCAACCATAACAAGAGAATATTGCATGTTAACAAGATATTCAGGGCTGAAAACCAATGGCTTTCCTAATGTATCTTGATTTTTAGCAATTCATATTCAATGCCACAAGTGTTCTGTTTCTGCTCACCACCCATACTGGTAAAGGCCATGAAGCTGCAGAATTCCAGGAGGCATTCACAGCCATACGTATTCCACAGGGCTGACATTCCTGTACAAGCCTTATTGAGGCAATGACTGGAAATGCCTGAAGTTGTGTAACTAACGACTCCGTGAAGCAGGATGAACTGTGGCGTCCTGTAATGCCTCATATCAAAGATCAAAGTGAAACAGTATTACTGCTAAATGTTATTAGAATGCTAAAAAGAAAAACCCATGTGTGAATTTTCTACAGAGTTCTTTAAAAAAAAGACAAATGAGAAGTTGTTACCTTCATTACCACCCCCATGATAGGCAGATGTAATGTTTTCCCTGGCACTGGGGCAGGCCATCGGTCAACATCATTACAAGCTGAAAAACATAACAAAATGTTTTGTTAGTATAGGTAGAAAACTTAAAATATTAAAATGGGGCACTACTTTATGTAAGAAAGGAAAAACTATACGAGTAATGGTAGATAAGTTGAAAGATAGGTAAAGTTATTAAATGTTTCTTATATTTCTTTCAGAAATCCATATGCTCTAGGATATGAATTACTTAATAAAACTGTTGAATGGGGCTGGATAGATGGCTCAGTAGTTAAGAGCACATACTGCTCTTCCAGAAAACCCAAGTTCGGCTTCCAGCATCCATATTGGGCAGCTCACAACTGCCTGTAACTCCAGCTCCAGGGAATCCTATGTTGTCTTCTGGTCTCCACAGAAACCCACATACATGGCATACACTCACAGAGACACACACATACAATGTAAATAAATTTTTAAAAATTGATACAAACTGTTGAATGACAGTTTAAAGGCAGTTTTTCCTAGTCACATTTTTTAACTACTAAAATTTCCTGTAAAAACACATCGAGATAGGTCTTCCATTTGTATCAAGGTATTAAAATTTTTTGTTCAATGGTACTCTAAGAACTATCAGCTCAAAACTTGGTTATTATTATCCTTAAAAAGCATTATCTATGTTATTATAGTAGATAAGACAGAGAACACTTGCTATTTAGAGGTGAAGATACCAAAGAGCTTTGTATCTCACCCTATCATATAGGCCTTAAATTCTATTCTGAATTTTATTAAAAAATTTTTTTGAGATAGGGTCTCATTGTGTAGCTCTGGTTGGCCTGGAATTTACTATGTAGATCAGGCTGTCCTCAAACTCACAGTGATCTGCCTGCCTCTGCCTTCTGAGTGCTAGGATTAAAAGGATGCACCACCATGCTTGGTTCTTCTGATTTTTTAGAGCACTAACTTTATTTTTATTGCACATTTCCAATAAAAATTTAAAATTTTCATTAACAGTATATAACTTGGGCTGGGAAGATAGCCTACTTCACTAAGTGCTTACAGCCCAAGCATGAGGATCTGAGTTTGAGCCCTAGTACCCCCACAAAAATCCAGGCATGGTAAAGCAGGCTTATAATCTCAACACTGGGGAAGAAGAGACAGAAGGCTCATTGGGGTTAGCGTAACTGGAGAGTCCCAGGTCTCAGTAAGAAACACTGTCTCAAAAAACAATGTGGACGGCTCTTGAGGAACAACACTGAAGGTTGACCTCTGGGCTCCACACATATGATCATGCATGTGCATATGCACCTACACACACACATGCAATCTTCAAACACATGGACATGCACACAGACACACCTGCACATACATACACACAAAGTATGTAACTCATGGAATACTTGAATTACCTGCTTCCAAATAAGGTTCATTTTTTCCAAAATACTCTGGTGCTATCTGTTTGAGTACGGTGTGAAAAAAATGAATATAAGGTAGTTTGCTGATCAAAACTAATGACTGAGGAGAGAAAGGGAACAAAAGTTTCTTAATTGCATAATGATTATAATTTAAGTTTGCCACTCATGTTTTCCATGAACAATTATTAACAAGCTAATATTCAGCAAAAAGTCTGGATTTTGAAATAAGGCTTTTACAAAAGGTTAAAACACAAAATCATAACTAAAATATGCAGATAGTTTAATCATATTAATCAAGATTAAAGAGTTAAAGACATATTCACAGATGTTCCTGTTCCTCCTATAAACAGATTAATATTATGGGCAATTTCCAAAGCCTAGTGTGATGGTTAGGTTTAATAGTCCACTTAAGACAATCTCTAATCAACATGGGAAGACAGTTTCAATGAGGGATCCTTACATCAAGTTAGTCTGTGGGCACTGATGTCTATGAGGGATTATCTCGACTACATTAATCAAGCTAAGAAAACCCACCTATGGTGGGTGAAATGATTCCCTAGGCAAGGGATCCTGAGCTGTTTTAAGAGTGGAGAGGATGAGCTGAGCACAAGCATGTATATATTAATTTGTTCTGTTCTACTTCTTGACTATGGATGCAATGTGACCAGTTGTCTCAGGCTCTTGCCAATGGGACTTCCTCACAATGATGGGCTGGAACCTGGAACTGTGAGCTAAAACAAACCCATTCTCCTTTATGCTGCTTTTGTTAGCGTATTTTATCACAGCAATAGAAACAAAGCTAAGACATCTAGCTACTGTTGTCTGCAGCACAGCAAGATCAAGAATTAGCCATATGAAGTCTTTCTACTAAGGAATGATGCTTGCAGACCCAGGACTGCTATATTCTATAGTTCAACTGTCATAGCCATATACTTCAACTTTCAGTTTAATCACTAGAAATAAATTACACTGATGTTTTAACGTTTTTTTCTTGAAAGCTATTCCATTTTCAAAGATTTTAGTTTTATTTATGACTGTGTATGTATGACTGTCTGTGTATATTTCCATGTGTGCAGGTGCCCTCCAAGGCCAGAAGAAGACATCAGATCCCCTAGAGCTGGAGTTACAGGCTGTTGTAAGTTTCTGGACAACCAAACTCTAGTCCTCTATAAGAGCAGGACCTGCACTTAACTGCTGAGCCATTTAGAGTCCAACCCAGCAAATCACTCTTTACCTTTCCATTCAGCATCAATTAGTGGTCAGGGCAAATTCTGATTACAAATGGAAAAGATATATCCTAATACTTGCCATTAGATAGGAATAATTCATTTTCCTTTTTTTTTCAATTTATGAAAAAGTGTACATTTAGGACGGAAGCAACAATGGCTAAGATGTTGCTAATTTTTATTTAATAGCTCATCCAAAAAAAAAGATACTGTAAACTTTTATTGGTTACGAAAGTATTACAATTTGTTTATTCTTTACCTTATCTAAAATGTCAAAATTACAGGACTCTTCTACATACTAACTATAACATCAGTATCACCTCTGGACTCTAGCAGAGAGAGCAACAATTCAGGCTAGGTACAGTGACCAGGTTCCAGGGAACAAAGCCATACTGAAGAGCATTTGAGGACACAAAATAAGGCTCAATAGGTCTTTAAAAAATAGATATGAAATTGGGGAGGGCAGGGGGGCAAGTAAGATGGGGTAAAGAGGGAGGGGGTTTGAATATGATCACAATACACTGTATGAAATTCTCAATAAAAAATATATATTTTTTAAATCTAGGGATACAGGGCTGGAGAGATGGCTTAGCAGTTAAGAACACTGGTTGTTCTTGCAGAAGACCTGGGTTTGAACCTCAGCACCCACATGGCAGCTAACAACTGTAACTCAAGTCCCAGGGGATCTAAGAGCCTCTTCTGACCTCTGCGGGCACTATACAACATGGGTGCACTTACCTACATGCAAGCAATACACAAATACACATAAAATAAAAATAATAAAATTTAAAAAAAATCTAGGGATAGGTGTCTATAATCAAAAAAGCACAAGAAACAAAAATCTTCAAACACTAGTAAGTCTAACAGTTCTACTTTGGGAAGGGGGAGGTGGTTGAGACAGGGCTCCATGTAGCCCAGGTTGGTCTCAAACTCATTATGTACCCAAGGCTGGTCTTGAACTCTTGATTCTCTTACGTCTACCTTTCAAGTGCTAGATTACAGGCCAAGTGCCATCACGCTCAGCTCTCTTCAGTTTCCTAATCATGATATGAAAAGTACTTTATTAGCACACATGAAAATTACCTTTTGAAAGTAGCCTCTCTTAAGAGTTTTATCTCGAACTTGTCGAAAATACACATATCCATAAAAATAAGCAGGATCTTTCTATGAAAGAAGTGATAAAAATTATGTGTATATATACATATGTATAGATATCCTTTATATTAACATCAAGTTTCTTTAATAACCCAAATCAATATGTAAGCTCTACAAAGAGCTATATTTTTCTACCAATAAATAACAACTATGTCAGTTAAAAAAAAAAAAAAAGCCAACTTGTCCAAAGATTAAACAACAAAAATCTAAGTGCTAAAGTGCTAAAATTGAGACTTTTCTCCCCTAGAACTTAATCAGCTTATGTTTTTGTTTCTGTTTTTTGTTTTTTTTTGTCTTTGTGAGAGACAGGGTCTCCCTGTAGCCCTAACTGGCCTGGAACTCACCAGGTGGACCAGGCTGGCCTCAAAATCAGAGATCCGCCTGCCTCTGCCTCCCAAGCACTGGGATTAAAGGCCTGCGCGACCTCACCCAGCTTCAGTTTATCTTCTTTATTCACTGTTACATTATTTCCTTAAATTTTACCTACAATTTTGAGTTTTCCAGAGTTAAACTGTTGGTCTTTGTTAGTCTTTTACAAATGAGGTATCCTAATATAAAGTTCCAAGAAAGGAAATAAAAGAGGTTAAATGCTAACCTCCACCTTCTTTCTTATTCAGATGGCCTTATTTTATAGGCCAGAGGTCCTGAACTCATGATCCACCTGCCTCAGTTTCCCAAGTGCTGGGATTATAACCATGTACCACCACACCTGGCCCAAATCTGAATCTTTTTTTGCTGTATTGTTTTTTTTTTTTTTTTGATGCAGGGTTTCACATAGCTCAGGGTGGCCTCAAACTCACTATGTAGCTAAGGATGACCCCAAACTCTTGATCCTTCTGCCTCTACTTCCTAAATGATGAGATTGCAAGTATGTACTACCATAACTCTGAATATAGCCAGCTATGAGTTACTAAAAATTAAACAATATATTACTTAATAGCATATAATTTGAAAGGCAATTATACTTCAAAAGCTTAAGGATCTTTTACATTCTAACAATAAACTTTGGCTCAGTTTCTTATTTTACTGTTATTCCTTAAATAAAAATTTATTTACTATTTAATTTAAACAAGGGACTGTATTAAGAGATTTTTAAAAAGATAGATAAAACACAGATCTTCAAGGTCATTACAATCTAGCAGGGATAAGAAAGTTCAAAATTGGAGTGGGTTGTGGTGGTGCACGCCTTTAATCCCAGCACTTGGGAGGTAGAGGCAGGCAGATCTTTTTGAGTTCGAGGCCAGCCTGTTCCAGGACAGCTGGGGCTCAAAAAAGACAAAAAAAAAAAAGTTCAAAATTGACTATTATGTTACAGGAGGGTGGGTCCCATGAAGAAAGCTCAATGTGTTAGAAAAGGTGGGGGTGGGGGAGTAACAAATTCATTGAGGGTGATTTGTAATTGGGCACAGAATGGTGGAAATGACTTAAACAGACAAAGAAATTCCAGGTTCAGAGGGCAAGGAATTAGAGCAAAAAAACAGACAGAAAATTGAAAGCTATCTCAGGAAAAAAAAGCACATAGTTCAGTTTGGTTGAAATATGGCACATGGTATAGAAGAGAAATAAGGGACCCGGGTGTGGTGGCGCACACCTTTAGTCCCAGCACTCAGGAGGCAGAGGCAGGCGAATCTCTGCAAGTTCGAGGCCAGCCTGGTCTACATAGTGAGTTCCAGGCCAGCTGGGGCTACTGGGAGACCCTGTCTCAAAAGACAAACAAACAAAAAAAGAAAACAAAAAAGAAAAGAAATAAGGTTAGAATTGGAAAGATAACAGTTCTTATTTGAAAGAAATTGAGACAAAGACACGGTATAGTCATCTGCTCTTTATTTTATTTTTTGTCCTCAACTTCTTTAATATGTAAAAGGATAATAAGTATGGTAGGGTTGTGGTTTTTAATATATTCTCGGAATATTGCCCTCCCAGAGAGTATTATTTCAAATACTTGATGAATTACCTACTCAAAGACAGTTTGTTTCAATTTGAAAATACCTGGTTCCATGGGGTTGTGGTAGCTACTTTATATGAGAATTAAATACATACATGTCAAGCTCTGAGCTGACAGAAGAAGGGGGAACGTGACACACAGCTGGGCAGACAGGAACCACTCCTAGTATTACTTTTCCCTTGTTAACAATAGTAATACTTGAATATAAATTAATTATGGTCATCTGCTCTTTATTCTTAACAACTGCTAGTCATTTAAGTATATATTTAAAAAATTTCTCTCTCTCACTCTGTCTCCCCCTCTCTAACTGGCAACACTGAGTAAGATACAATGTATTGGGAAAAACATGAATTGGGATGTCTTTGGGTAAACTGCTTTTCTTTTCCAGCCCTCAAGACCATCATCTACAAAAGGAACTCTCTCAGAGAGCAGTAGAGAGACTTAATGAGATAATATATGCTTATCATTACAATGCCTACAATAGCACAAAGCTTTAATAAACAGCTATTATTATTATTAGTTGAAAGAGCATGTTCATTGTGGTGGTCATAGGTCATGGACAGGAGCAAACGGCCCTTAGAGACATTTCAAGATTTTATGTTTGCTAACTGAGTATTCCTGTTAGTAGAACCAGGGGGTGAACTATAAAAGCTGATTTCAAGCAAATGATGTCATTCACACTGGATATGCAAACAGGGTATCCAGATGGAAATATTCCTCATGTAATCAGAGATATAAACATAAGTACCAAAAAGAGAAATTTAATTTGGAAGTCACCTAGATTATTAAAAACTATGTCAATAGATAGTAACTATAAAATTCATTAAAAATCAAGAGGAATAAATAGGTTATCAAAAAATATGTGGTATTCGTACAACAGATGACTACTCCAAGTATGGATGGCGTTTACTGTACAGTACCACTCCTGCATAGCTAAACAAAGAATTATTAACAAGTAAATTGCTTCACCATCCAATCAATTTTTGTAATTCACAATGATATTATGGTCTTCAGAATAGTTACTTTATAATCAATTTCACTCACTTTCTGAATCCTTATCAGATACCCTTGAGAAATCCAGCTACATAATAAAGTAACCAAGCAAAAAACAAAAAAAAAAGCAAACTATATCTAAATGTTAGCAAAGGTAACTGAATATATTAGTACTAAAGTAATGAATTCTAATGTTTCCTCTCACATGGACATGTTTCCATGACCACTTTTCCAACCTTTAAGTAAACTGGTAAATCTTTGTCAAATTGATCGAGGAGACAATGCAGTGACACCCTCCTCCCAGAAGACTGTCGAAATCTAAAACAAAACTGGGTATCTCCAAGACAACCTAATGAAAACAAAGATGAAAGTAAATTAGGGTAGTTTAGTGTAACATCTATCCAGTTTCGTCAATTTAAGAGCTGAAAGAATCTTATAAATCATTTTAATCCATTTCATCATGTTTTAGAGAAGAAAAAGGACAGCTTAAAACTTCTAATGATTTGTTCAAGGACATCTATGTGGTGAGAGGCAAGGCCAGAAGCAAAACATGAGTCTTCATTCCTAGGACCCTTTCCTATTTTTTCCTATCTCATTTTTCCAGTCATTAAAAAAAAAACTATCTGCATATAAGTCTCATAAATAAAAGTAAATGTAACACACACATACACGCCCATATCTTGTTCATACTCATGTATATCAATTTTTTTTAAACTCATTTTGAGATAGGCTCTCAAACTATCAGCACAGAATTCCTGCTCCTCTTGCTTTACTTCCTAACTGCTGAGATTACAGGCATATGCCACCAAGCCCAGTTTATGCAGAGTGGGGACTGAGCTTAAGGATTTGCGCATGCTAGGCAAGCACTCTACCAACTAAACTACACCCCTAACCTCCAAGTATCTAACTGTTTTTGTTTTTATTTCATTTTTTTGAGACAGGGTCTGACTATGCAGTCCTGACAGGCTTGGAAAACATTATATAGACAAGGCTGGCCTCCAATTCACAGAGAATCTGCCTGTGTCTGCCCCCCAAAGTGTGCACCACCACACACAGCTCTATATAAATTTTTTAAAGCAGACAATGTTGTAGTCTTTTAGGGATACAACGTTCAGTGATTAAAAACAGAAGATCAGCCAGGTGTTGTGGAGCACACCTTTAATCTCAGCACTCGAGAGGCAAGTGGATTTCTGTGAGATAGAGGCCAGCCTGGTCTACATAGTGAGTTCCAGGCCAGCTGGGGCTACATAGAGACCTTGTCTTAAAAAAAGAAAAAGAAAATCATGAAACATATTATTCTAACAATCAGGACAGTGATTACCTTTGGAAGAAGAAGAGGTATGTGTCAGAAGAGGCATAAGGAGGTTTTTGAGGTGCTGGGAAAGTTCTAGTAATTAATCTGGAATGTGTTATATTTCACAGTGAGCACTTTTTAAATATATAAAAGCCCAAGTAATCAAAACTTTTAATCATCTAAATTAAAATTAATTTTCAGCTTCAATCATTTCCCCAAACCTCTTAAAATGTAAATTTTAATTAAATTTTCCAGGTAATAATTAGTTAAAAACTATAAAAAATCGTCTTCAGTTGGCTCCTTGACTGTAGGGGCTTCTGTGACTCCCTGACTCCATGAGGCTCAGCTGGCTCCCCAACTGTAGGGGCTTCTGCTGGCTCCCCAGGAGCTGGGGGCTCAGCTCCCTGATAGTGAGGGGCTGGGCTTCGTGAGTGCCAGGGGTTTGGTTCCATGAGAGCTAGGGACTCTGCTCCCTGAGAGACTGAGAGTGGAGTGGGGGCTCTGCTCCCTGAGGTGGAGGGGCTCAGCTGAAGGCCATGGTCATTGCTGGGGAGAAGTGCCTTGTCATCTTTTGATATAGACGACTAATCTGCCTCCAGCATGCTCACTGAGGTCCAACAGAGAAGGCTGTAAAAGGGATGGAATGGCAAGGAGCGCCTTGAGATTTGACCGGGAGACAAAAGAAGCAACCAGTGCTCATTTTTCCACTAAACTAGGTACATTTCAGTTACAGCTGTGTGATCATATGACTTATGGATTGTATTAATTTGTCTTTCAAAGAACAAAAACTTGAACTTAGCCCCTTTTTGCTACAGAAAGTGTCCTTTTAGTGGCTTTTAGAAATTGGGTAGCATTTTACAATGAACTTGAGTCTAAAAATGTTGATTTTGTTCCCAAGCTATTTTAGAGTTTATACTCAAATAAGTGGCTAGGAAAAAGTATATTTGCTTTAAAAATATATAACCGTTGAATCTCCCACTATCATAGCCAGAAAGGGACTGCAAAAGTGTCTCTCATACATAGTGTGACTAGGCACAGTAAAACACTAAAAGTTGTTGGCAGAAACTCACTTGAATGCATTTTCCTCCTGTCTGTAAATTTCCTTATAACTGCATCAGGAAGAGGAGAATTGGACGGTAGATGCTCCCTGGCAGAAGCCCTGGCAGTTTCTGTTTGGGCTGCATGGATGTGTGCAAGTCTAAGGGAGAAGTAGAGCTCTTTGGGCTGTGCACAAACAGTGCTCTGCAGGCGGTGTGCATACAGTGTTCTGCACACGGACAGCTGTAAGCTGTATGCACACTGACCTCTGTGGCTGTGTGCACAGGGACAGTGCTCTATGGGCTGTGTACTTACAGGCAATGCTATCTATGATGTGTCTCACAATGGATGATGTTCCACTTTCAGAATTTTAGTATTTGTATGTAGAAAATGGGTTTAATAATGCACGGTGATTCTGACTTGTATTTCTTAAACCTTTTGAATATATTTTTAAAATATTTTATTTATTATTTTTATTTTATGTATATGTGTCTATTGCCTGCATGTAGGTAAGTTCACCCACATGTCGTGCAATGCTCGTGGAGGACAGAAGAGGCTTTTGGATCGCCTGGAACTGGAGTTACAGACAGTTGTTAGCTGCCATGTGGGTGCTGGGATTTGAACCCAGGTCTTCCGCAAGAACAGTCAGTGTTCTTAACCAATGAGCCATCTCTCCAGCCCTTGTATGTGTTTTTTTATAACAAAAAAAATAAAGCTGGGCATGGTGGCGTGTGGTGTTTTTTGAGACAGGGTCTACTGTAGCCTCAGGTGGCCTGGAATTCTCTCTAGGTAGACCAGGCAGGCTACCACACCCAGCTCCTTAAAAAAAAAAAAAAAAAAAAAAAAAAAAATTTTTAAAAACAAAAAAAAAAAAAAAAAAAAAAAAAAAAAAAAACAAAACCGAAAAAAAAAAAACCCTATAAATAATCTAAAAATTAGCCAATTCAAATACAGTTGAGGGCTGGTGAGATGGCTCAGTCAATGAGATAGCTCAGTAGGTAAAGTGCTCGCTTATGCAAGCCTGATGACCTGTGTTTGATGGAAGGAGAAAATTGACACCCAAAAGTTGTCCTCTAGTCTCATGCTTGTGTCACAGCACATGTACACAACAATAATTTTTTCTATTATTAAATTAAGAGGCTAGAAAAATGGTTCAGCAGTTAAGAGCACTTGCTGCTCCTGAAAAGGACTTGAGTTTGGTTCCCAGCACCCATATAGCAGCTAACAAGTCTAGAACTCGTTTCAAGTGATTCCATGATCTCTTCTGGCCTACATGGGCATTGTATGCATGTGATGCACTTATATACATACAGGCACATAAAATATAAATTTTTAAAAATCTAAATATTTTGTTTTTAAATTAAAAAAAATTTACTTATTATTTTTATTTTATGTGTATGCATGTATTGCCTACATGTAGGTAAGTGCACCAGTGTCATTCAGTGCCCCAGAGGTCAGAAGAGGGCTTTGGATTTCCCTGGAACTGGAGTTAAGTACAGTTGTTAGCTGCCATGTGGGTGCTGGGATGCGAACCCAGGTCTTCTGCAAGAACAGTCAGTGTTCTTAACCACTGAGCAATCTCTCCAGCCCCTATTTTTAAATTTTATGTGTATGGGTATTTTGCCTGCATGTATGTAAGTGCATTACAAGTGTGCAGTGCCCACAGAGGCCAGAAAGGGCATGGAATCCCCTAGAACTGAAGTTATGGAGAGTTGTCTACTGTCATGTAGGTGCTGGGAATTGAACCCAGGTCCTCAGGAGAACAGCAAATGTTCTTAACTGCTGAGCCATCTCTCCAGCCCTCCTCCAAAAATTTTTTTTTTAACTCAAAAGAATTAAGCTAGGCATGGTGGTGCATGCCTTTAATCTCAGCACTCAGGAGGCAGAAGCAGGCAGATCTCTATGAGTTCAAGGCCAGCCTGGTTTATATAGCAAGTTCTAAACCAGCTAGGGTTACCCAGTGAAAGCCTGCCTCAAAAAAATAAAATAAAATAAATAAATAACATTTGTAGTAGCATCACTCAGATTTTTCTCAGGTAATATAGTTAAAATTCATGTTATAATAATGTGAAAAGTGCTCAATAGTTTTTATTACTACTACACATTTAAACTAATTTTTTTAGTATATGACATGCAAAACATCAAACTGAACCTTCACAATGTTTAAGTTTTTTAAAAACATATTAGACAAGCATATCTAATTGCAATTATATACACTGGCAGTTCTTTGCTGTTAGAGGGATGCAAAGAGATGGAGTCAATTCAGTTTCTTTGCTTTTTGAGGTGTAGTTTTGCTACATCTCTCAGGCTAGCCTGGAACTTACCAGGTAGCCAAGGCTGGTATCAAACTCAAGATCCGTTCTGCCTCAGTCTCCTGAGTTTTGAGATTAAAGGCATGTACCAATACACCCAGGTCTAATTCAGCTTACCTATTCAAACATGATGAGAAATGTTCTATGCTATGGGTCCAGTATTATTTTAGTTCAACAAATTTATATACCAATTTTTCTTTTGAAAATGTTATGTTTGAATAAGAAATGTTCCCCCAAAGAGCTCATATATTGGAAGACTTGGTCCCCAACTAGTGGCACAATGTTTGAAGGTTCTGAAAGCTGGAGGTAGGGCCTACCTGGAAGAAGCAGGTCATTTGAGGGAGGGCGGCAGTCTTTGAGGGTATCTTTCTACCCAGTCCCTTGCTGCTGTACTCTGCTTTCTGACTGTAGTCATGAGGTAAGCAACTCCATGACATACAATAGTCTATTTTATATGAGTGAATTGCCTGCATGTGAATTGCAGTGTCCACATGGCAAGCACTTTACCAACTGCGTCATCTCCTCAGTCTTAAGCTGTTGGGGTTTTTTGTTGTTTTATTTACTATTCTTTTATTTTATGTGTATGAGCATATTGCCTGCATGTAGGTAGGTACACCCATGTTGTACAGTGTCCACCGAGGTCAGAAGAGGGCGTCAGATCCCCAGGAACTGTAGTTATGGATGGTTGTTAGCTGCCAGGTGGGT